AGTCTAATCTCTGGGAAAGTGGTTCATCTTCTGATCAAGCCATTATGGGGAGGGACCCATGGAGAGTAGGCACATCTGCAAAATTTTTCTTTAGGATTAGTAGCAATGAATGTTCCAGAAAGATCGCTCTCACATACTTCCAACTAATATTTTCATACTGAGTTTGGATTAGCTCCAATAAGTATTTGGTTACTTCAATGAGGGTAACCTCCTTCTTTATATCAAGTTAGCTATTATAGTTCCTGATCCTTATTGTATGAGCTTACTAAGATCAAAGATGTGATTTACCCCTAATCGAAGGGTGCTTTTGTGCTGAACTTTATATTTTATAATGGTTGTACATTTCTCAGAATCTGCAGCTATTAGGTTCATGTAAAAGTAACATCCTTGAAAGATCTGGAGCTTTTAAACTTCACTTAGTATTAAAAGGATTATCTTTGAGTGAGAGCTTAGTATATGTATGGTATTAAAAAAATCATTAGAAGAGAGAAAGAGGGATAGATATATAATCAAAACCTCGTTGTCATTCCTGGCAACTTTTTAACACACATAGTGCCACAAGAGAGATTTCCCAGTTAAACACGGTATTCACAATCCAAGTTTCATTATGTAGGGAGATGAAGGTATCTCTGCTCATTCTTTGTTAAGCTGAGCTTAAAGGTCATTGACAGAATTTTAGGCTTTGAGTGACCTTCCACTTAAGAACTGTGCAGATTGATCTACTCTGTGTGAGAGACTGTGTTCTGTGTGTAATAGCATAATGTGCTATCATTGTATGTATGGACTGCACTTCTGTCTGCTCATTTGGCATCCAGATTAAGAAAGAAAGCAGTCTCTAAAAACATAAATTAGCATGCTTTTGTTTTAACTTATATATATTTATGAGAAATTAGAATAAAATGAATTTATTTAAAAGAAATTTAAAAAGTAAAAGCTAAGAAAATGAGATTGAGGAACTGTGCTTTTGGGTATTAAAAGAAAAACATAATTTTCTTAGAAAGAAGGAGGAAATGGATTAAAAATTTTTTAAACCCCATGCACGTAGCCTCCTAATATGTGCTAGGTTCAAGTACTGTACCCAATACTCCTCACAGCTTTCTGAGTTAGGTGCTGTTATCATTTTGTAGATTAGAGAAATGGAGTCTATGCATTTTAAGACTTGCACAAGGTTATGGATCCAGTAAATGAGACAGATGGAATTTAAATTCAGGTCTGCCCTTTCTCAAAGTTCTGGGATTTTACCATCATCTAATAGCTGCTGCCTGGCAACATCATTTTCAAGCGGTGTATTACTCTCTTAGTACCTGCAATAAATGGTTTGTGCCTAAAAACATAAAGCATACTTCTGTTGGTGAATAGAAGGCCCATGTGGATTAAAGGCAGTGATATATTAAATATGTTGCATTAAAAGTTTTATCGAGTTACTAAGTGACGGAGAATCTGAGCTTTTCTGTTTTGACTGATTAAGGTTGGGTGTGGGAAAGTTGGACTTTCAGGAGTTGTTTGGATAAAGAGAGGGACAGGAAGAGCATGGTGGGCTTAGAGAGTGAAATTCAGGCTGGTGGTTGGACTTGGAGAGAGCTTAGAGGTGGATGAGTCACCTCGCAGGGTCATTGGACTGGAGAGTCTGGAATTGATTCACAGCCTTTTTCACTAAGGCTGGCTATTTATAGCTACCGCAGCTCCGTCTGCACAGGAAAGCTGGAGACGGGGGGAGGGGGTCATGTTTAGGTTATGGCTCCAGTGCTTGGTGTTGGGCCTGGGCGTGAAGCATCGTGGACCGTCCTCTTGTCCTTTGACAGTCCACTCTGCACACGGCAGCCAGAGGATTTTTTTAGAAATGTGGATCATGTTACTTCCCTGCTTTAAGTCTTCCAGTGACCTTCCATCATCCTCAGCATGGAATCCAAACTTCACAGTGGTCTAGATAGAAGGTGTGGTATAGCATTAAGGAGCATGGTCTCTGGGCTCCCTCTGCACATACTAGTTTTGGGATCTTGGACAGATTTTCTAACTTCTCTGTGCCTTAGTTCCCATCACTAAGAATCTGATAGTGGTGCCTACCTCAAAGGATTGTTAGAGGTGTCAATGAATTGATAAAGACAGAACAATAGAACAGTGCCTGACTTATAAGCCATCTCTGAACTGCTCTTTACTATCTGGTATTCTGGGCCATGACTGAAACTCTTAGGAGGTATTTGCCAAAATGAGTTCAAGTGTTGCTTCTCACCTATCTATTGGTGGTTAATTGAGTAGCTTGGGATCAAGCATTTTACGTAGGAATTTGCTTAGCAGCGCATCCTGCCTCTGCTAGATGTACGGCTGGAGGTGTGAATGTTCAGGAGGCACCCTCAGGGGGGCTGCTTAGGACGTGGCTATAAGTCACTCAGTGTGGATCTAGTGAAAGACTGCCCATTCTCCAGGTTGGGATCCACCACTCCTGGTCAGTGGCTTGCCACCGAGGAGATAACCATAAGACATCTCTCTCATCCTGGGGGGTGCATGGCCTTGGATCAGCACGTGTGTGCCCACTCCATCCTGCAGGTGCAGCGATGCACACGCCTTCCCAGGCACACGTATCCCAGGGCCAGACCCTGCCGACTGGCCATCAGCTCTTGCTTTTGCTGTTGTTGCTGTTGCTTTTTTTTGTCCTGTGATGTGCTGTGCCTTCTTCTCCCATCTCTGGCACATTACAATCAGCAGTTCTTTCCGGTATCTACAGGAAAATAGCTATTCAAGTGAGAACCAAGCCACAGTCATTAGTGGGTACATCTCAGCTGGTGTTGTGGTATCAGGATCGTAATCTCTAGTATATGTGCTGCCGAAGCGAGCACAGGATCGTAATCTCTAGGAACATCTCGCACTCAGTCTTTTTTACAACCAGAGGGAGCATTGGTGTCGGGAATTGGGCATCTAGGGAGATTAGGTTAAAATTAATGTCATGTTTGCAAACTCATGAGGAAGGTTGTTAATGAATTCTCATAGCACTTCATAAGATCGGTATTCTGTGTGGTGCAGTCCGTGGTAAAGACTCACTCTTCCCTCGCAATGTAGTTCAGATCCCAAAGTCACTGAGTTTCCCTGTCCCACTGTAGCAGGATTCCATAACCTGCCTGGCACATACTTGTAGAAAATTTGCAAAAATTTTAGAAAATTTGTTAAAAACAGTCACATAGTCCCTGTGAAGTTGTGCTCTTTGCCCAGGTCTACAATGATACTTTTGATTCAAATTGTAGTTTAGTATATTGTTCTCCAAATCCCAAATGCCAGGGCATCTAATTTTCCAGAATAAACCAGGCCCCTGTATGATCCAATCTCAGGACATAGTTATATTCAATTTGTATCCAAAAAGTAATTTAAAACAACTTAGATGTTTATGCCATTTGTGAGAAAATGTGGGGAGGGATTACTTTGAAGCAAAAGAAAATTTGCAGGCATCATTTTTCATCTCTCTGTTACAGTCTGTCACATGGCATCTTTCTCAAAAAATTCCTCATCTTTTCTTAACTCCCCTGGGTTGATTGATAGAAGAGTGAAGGTTTTGAATGTATATATATTTGTTCCTATTTTATCTCCAGCATTCTATGGAGATTTTGAAAATATTAACAGAGACAAAGAAACATTTACAAATCCAAATTATGTTTGGATATGTTTGAGATGTCTGGTCAGGTCCCCTGTATATTCTCTTATTATCTTTTTTTTTATGTTATGTTAATCACCATACATCACCTCATTAGTTTTTGGTGTAGTGTTCCATGACTCATTGTTTGCATATAACACCCAGTACTCCATGCAGAACGTGCCCTCTTTAATACCCATCACCAGGCTAACCCATCCCCCCGCCCCCCTCTAGAACCCTCAGTTTGTTTCTCAGAGTCCATAGTCTCTCATGGGTCATCTCCCCCTCCAATTTCCCCCCCTTCATTTTTCCCTTCCTACTATCTTCTTCTTTTTTTTTTTTTTTAACATATAATGTATTATTTGTTTCAGAGGTACAGGTCTGTGATTCAACAGTCTTACACAATTCACGGCGCTCACCATAGCACATACCCTCCCCTTCTCTTATTATCTTAAAAGCCTATTCAGAGGACATTTTTTGGAATCCAAAAATCATGTACAGGAAAAAAATTAATCTTTAAAGGTAATTTTCACAGTGATCTCTGCATATGAAATATTATGGGGAAGGAAGAGTTCTAAAAAATTAAATCTTTCTGCTTACATGATTTTAGCTTTTTGTGGCGTTTTAGAAGAGAATTCATTATTTTAAGTACTCTTTACAGGTTAATATAATTAATCGTACTTTTCCAAAGATGAAAAAGATAACATTCTGGGGCCCAGGCAACAACAGTAACTTTTACCACTGAATTCAGCTCTAAATATGGCCACTTGCTTATTGCTTCTGATGACCATTCGTAGAACTAAAAAATGAACCCCAGTGGTAAAGCTGTATGTCTATGGAACAGTGAAGCAAAGGAGTGCCTGAGACACCTTAATGACTGGCTTAAATGTGTAGATCTCCCAAGGGAGATCTCCGTGTGTGCCTTGCAAAGATACATCAAACTTGATGGATCCAGAGCCATATGAGCTATTCACAGTCACAGGGAGTGCTGATTAGTGCCCTCTGTTCCTCTTTAACACTGTATAAAGTGGGCACAGCCTGGTCACGGCACTCTTGACTTTGCATCGTACCTTCTGTGCTAGTCTCCCCCACCACCCCAGGAACTCCTGATGGCAGGAAATGGGTGTTCCTCCCCTTCCGTATTAGGCAATCAATAAATGCTTTTCAGTGAATGAATGGATGAACAAGCTAACAAATGAGAGGGACGGCTGTCGGCGATGAACAGGGTCCAAAGCATTGCTGTGATTGCTCAGTGTCCCTGGAAATAACTATAGAACAGAGTTTTTCCATGTGTGGCCTTTGTAGTAGTGTTTCTATTGGAATCAGCTCTGTGGGGTGTTTGCCAAAATTCAGATTCCTGTATCCTAACTCAAACCTACAGAACCAAAATCTCTGGAAGAGCAGCCCAGGAATCTGCATTTTAAAGAAGCCTTCAGGATATTTAGAGTGAGCAATGGAGTTGGGCAATCATTGCTGTGGAGAATCAATCATCTAAAGGGAAAAGTGGCCAATGATGATTTGTTTCCTAGTGAGTGTGCAGGACATGTTGGTAAGTTTGTTTATATAGAGATTTTGCTTAAGTCCCCAACATGTTCCTCCTAAAGATAATGTGGTTTTAATTAAGGAAAGGGGGTCCTGTTTCTGACCTAATTAATTAGATCAGAAAATTCTCTGAGCCACTATACTCTATAGTTAAGAGAGTTAGTTGTGTGTGGTGTAATCTTCTATCTCTATGCTTTTGTTTTCTTGGTCCAAACACTTTATTTGTTTCTCCCTTGGAGAAACAGACTTAACAGAATTAATTCCAGTATTAATAACAGAATGAATGGAAATAGCACTAAAGAGTAATTTAAAAAAATACTAAATGAAATCACTTTGCAGAAGTATCATGGACTGCTAAAATAGGCAGGAGTGAAGATTTTCAAGTTTTTTTGATCATGTTCCCATAATATTCATAAACAGGTATAAAATTATATTGAAAGGATTTTTAGGGCTTTTTGTGTGTATCTACTTTGCTTTTCTATTTAGAGAAAATGTACTGCCAACTAGACTTGTAAGAGAACAAGGAAGACATATGAAATGTGAGTGGACAAGCTTTATATAAACCATACCAAACAAAATTAGATATAAAAAAGGTATTTAGGTACATGAATTAAACATCTTCAGTGTTTCTTTTTTGTAATTATGTTCCAACTTGAAAGTTACCCAAGTATTTAGAATATGTGCTCCTAGGAAATAAGACTATTTCTTTTTTTTTTTAAGATTTTATTTATTTATTTGACAGAGAGAGAGAGAATGAGAGAGAGCACGAGCAGGGCGGGATGGCAGAGGGAGAGGGAGAGAATTAGGCTCCTCTCTGAGCAAGGAGCCTAATGTGGGACTCGATCCCAGGAACCTGAGATCATGACCCGAGCCGAAGGCGGATGCTTAACCGACTGAGCCATCCAGGTGCCCCCGAAATAAGACTATTTCAATTGGAAAACAGACACTTTAATCCTAGTAGGAAGAGAAATAAAAATGAGAATGGAAAAGGGAGGAAGGAAGGTAATGTTCAAAGAGCAAAAGCAAAGCCAGGAAGTGTGCCTCATGGAAGCTGACATGTTTTTAGGTTGAAAGGAAGAAACTAAAAATCAAAGTGAGAGAAGGTGATTGGTGGAGGGGATTGGGTCAAAGGCTCTGCCATAACAGAGGATAGAACCCTGGGCAAGAAGGCAAGGAGTAGGTATGGATACAGAAAACATGGTATTAGGGAGACGAGGCCTAAAGTTCTACATGTTTTGAATGGTACCCTGTTCCAAATCAGAGCGTGAAAATTAGCTATGGGATGTGAGGACAGTGGGACAGATTTGAATAGTTGTTAAGAGAAATGGGGAAAGGAAGTAGCCAAGTATAAATGCAATAGTTGATAATTGGTTTTAAAGGCCAACGTTTTTTTGATCTATCACAACGTTTATTCAGTGGAGGAAGAAATAGATTTATAATTATGTCTACATTATAGTTGTAGGGGCTTTAGGGCCCTTTCTTTGGTATACCATTTCATGCTCAGTTATTTTTCTTCTTTGGACTTAGGGCATTTAAAAAAGACTGAATCACCTAATATACATGATATATATATAACTATATATATATTGTATGAGTTGTTTTTCCCATATATGTGGGAAAGAAAAATAACTCATACAATCTGGGAAAAAATATTCTGTTCTCAGATATCCATGAAAAACAGATCTCAGCGTAGAAATGCTGTCATTGAAAAGGTGTTCTGGGTCTAGACTAGAATTGACTGCAACCTAAACAAAGGTGTTAACCTACTTAAAGAAGAAAGTTTCACTCTGAGGGACTAATTAAAATTGGTCTTGAACCAAAGGAAAGGAATGAGTCATTCTCACTGTTCTTTATGTGGTGTGGCCAAGGCTGGCCAGTGTTGTGCTAGTTAGCTGTAGTCTACTCCTACAGTAGGAGCTGTAGTCTTGGTGGAGGCTGTGATAATCATATCAAAATAATTTGTACTCTGTGCTCCTAAGCTGGCTTATTTATGTGGACTTGATATTTTCAATGAAGCGTAGCTGCCACTTGTTGGCAGAGGTGCTTGTCTCTGTCAGAGATAATGGATTATCAGAAACATCATTTCATCAGAGACAAATTTCTATCTAGAATAACCAGAATATTCATCAGCTTGGGTATCTGCTATGTGACAGACTCTGTGCTTGGTGGGGAATAAGATCTTCTCCGTGGAGATTTACAGCGTGGGTCGCTTGCCGTGGCATTTTTAATCAGAACAGATCCATCAAACTTCTGCTGTGGGCTTGCTCATCCTAATTCTGACCCATTTCTCATCTTTATGGGACATTTGAATTCCATCTGAGCCTGAATACTTACAGTACATTTTCAACATTTTGCTTCAACTCATCTTTTTTTTCTTTAAGTATCATAATTTAACCAAATGGAGTTGTCTACATGACCTATGAACCAATGAGGGGAATTAAAGTCGGAGATACTGGCTTATCCCAACCCACAGGAGCTGGATCTGTTTCTTGGTGAAGGCTTTTAGAACAAGTACCCATCACTCTTCTCCCTTATTTCCTACTTCACATGGGGCAGAATTTCTACCTTGCAGTGGATGTGGCTGGCAAAGAAAGAGTTTCTTAGTGACCCTCTTGGAACAAGAGATGCCGACACTGGTTCTCTGTCAAAGTTCTTTTCCAGGAAGCATGTAAGGGATGTGTGGAGCCTCAGGTTCACTTCTGTCAGAAGCGTATCCTTTGTTTGGCTTACCTGATGACTTTGGGAGAAAGGGTTAGTAACACCAGAAGTACAAACCTCTTACAGTGAGGTCACATTAACAAGTGCAGTTTTATTACCACTGTTCTTTTTCACTGTGATCCTGGTGCTTGCTCCTTAAAACAAGATGTAATGCTGCCTCATCTTTCCTGAAGCCTCAAGAGGAAATGCTCACAATAATATTTTCAGAAAATTTGCTATGTGCATAGCCACATTTAAAAAAAGCATTTTGAATGGCTGGACACCTTCTACTCCCTATGTCTATATTCTATTTCTTACAGGGTCCAGCTTTTTGTGCCTTCCAAGTGACTAATAGCTAAAAAAAGTACACTTTTTTTTTTGCAAAAACATGAGAGTCTCTCTCCACCCAAGCAGCTCTGCCCACTAAACTATCTTTTAGACGTGTAGCAAGTATCTTTGTGGTCTAGACTGAAGCAGTGATCCAGTTGTGGGGATTCTAGATCAAGTCAGGCATGATGAGTCTAAATCACTGATTTTTAGGGTGGTATGTATATCTATTAGGAATTGTGTTAAGGTGCAGGTTAACAGAAACCCAAACCAATTTACTGTTGCCTCGGTAGCAAGAAGCCTGAAGGCAGGTGGTTCAGAGCTGAAGGACTCATCATGGTTACTTCTGGCTTCTTGCTCTGCCATTCTTAGCATGTGGCTGTCATCCAAGAAGAGGGGAGAGGGAAGAGCAAAAAGGATTATTGAGTCTGCCCTTTTTAGCTCAGGAAAATAATAGCTTTCCCGGAAGTCCCACCCAGTAGACTTCCATTTCCATCTCACTGGCCAGGGTTACACCACATGCCACCCCTAGCTGCAAGGCATTCTGGAGAGGTGAGTATTTTTAACTGGGAACATTGTTGCCTTGGATAAAATTGGGGTTCACTTGGCAAGGAGGAAGCTCAGTGGATGGGCAGTGATCGGGATATGCCCTGGGGAGCCCCATGACATCTATCACAACCAGTTTTAGGTACTGCCTTTTATTTTATTTTATTTTTTTAGAGAAAGACGTGGTTTATTGTTAGTCACCATACAGTACATCATTAGTTTTTGATGTAGTGTTCAATGATTCATTATTTGCATATAACACCCAGTGCTCATTACAACACGTGCCCTCCTTAATACCCATCACCGGGCTACCCCATCCCTCTCCCCTCCCTGAAACCCTCAGATTGTTTCCCAGAGTCCATAGTCTCTCATGGTTCGTCTTCCCTCTGATTTTCCCCCCTTCAGTTTTCCCTTCCTTCCCCTAATGTCCTCTGTGCTATTGAGAAAGACATGGTTTAAATTCTAGCCATATCATGTCTGGTTGGTGTGGGTAAGGGTAAGTCACAAAACTTCTCTAACCATCAACCAGTCATCTGCAAAATGAATCAATAACGCACATATCATGAAATTTCTGTGGGGGATTAAGTTAAATAATGTTTGTATTATTTTAACTATTGTGAGTGGTAACAATTATTTTCGTTGAAGAAATGTTGTTCCATTGATTTTGACCCATCTTGTTCTTTTTTTTTTTAACCCATCCCCCCACACCCCTCCCCTCTAGAACCCTCAGTTTGTTTCTCAGAGTCCATAGTCTCTCATGGTTCGTCTCCCCCTCCGATTTCCCCCCCTTCATTTTTCCCTTCCTGCTAGGTACTGCCTTTTAAATATCAGCATTGCTGTTCTGTTTCTGTGATGGAACGGAGTGGTTGGCCTTGGGTCATTTGTTTAGGAGAGGAGGTGATGGCATGAGGGGGTTATGCTTTTCCATTCTTCTAAAGAACAGTGGCTCCTTCTTGGTCTTTTACAAAAAGAATCTTTGACTTACAATGTGCTGAATGCAAATGGCAGAGAAGACCATTCCTCCCAGAGTTCTTTGGCTTATCCATATGATGAAAATAGTGCGGGGGGGGGGGGGGTGGTCACCTGAGTGGCTCAGATGGTTAAGCGTCTGCCTTTAGCTCAGGTCATGATCTCCAGGTCCTGGGATCGAGCCTCATGTTGGGGAGGCTCAGCGGGGAGTCTGCTTCTCCCTCTCCCTCTGCCTCTCCTCCTGCTATGTTCTCTTTCTCTCTGTATCTCTCTGTCTCAAATAAATAAATAAAAATCTTAAAAAAAAAAATGGTGGGTTCCCAGCATAACCACAGACAGACAGGGCTGGATTATCTGACCCCTCGCTCTGGCCCACTTTCTATTTCTTTCATACTCCAGAAGCACACACAAAAAAGGGGTGGGGGAGGTTTTTCTTCTCAGGACGATTCCCTTGAGCTTGGGACCTTTTCTCCATCTTTCGTTTTTTCAGTGTTGCTCTTACTTCACATCTCGTTCATCCCAGCTCTCGGTTAAAGCGTGTCCTTCATCTTTCCTCCTGTGAAAGAGATCTGGGGAGACAAATGAAGTACATCTGACTTTAAGGGCCAGTATCACTGAACACATTCTCATGTACCTGTGACACTCTGCATGGCCTTCTTTTTAGTTGTATTTCCTATTCTAGGCCCTAGGACAGAGCTTCGAACTAGTGTGATGCAGGCAAATGATAGCATATGACCTTCAGCCTTTGGGGTGGTGGGGCACAGCCTGGTGCCACCAGAGCATCCCTGCCTGCCATTTTAAGTTATAAGCACCTCTTTCATTTATCCCAATGTGCCCTACAAATGTTATCATTTTCCGTGTGCCAGGAGGTCAGAAAGCTTGGAAAATGCTGCTTTCAGGTGGCTGTCCTTTCTATCCATACAAATACCTGAACACTCTCTTCTTTTTTTGTATTGTTGGATACTTACGCCTTCAGCTTTTTGTAAAGAATTATCCTAGCAGACGTGATGACTTGGTTGGTGTCTCCTGAGCACTGTTCATGGCAAACTTGTACTATGTCTTCACTCATTTTCATAGCTTAAGTTCCCTTTTTTTTTTTTTAATTCCACTTGGAGTTCTATTATGTTCTCCCAGCTTTGCTCTTCCTTTCTTTTCTATACGGGATGTTATAGACGGGAGCACACCCGGCTCCTTTCTTATCTATCAGCTCACCGTTGATGCTACACCAGTTGTATCCTTTGTTCTTTCCAGTTTTGTCTTTTGGTGACGTTGATTAACCAGGCCAAGCCCAGAAATGCCAACTCCCTTCAATCCCCTCCCCAGTTCTCCCATATCAGTGCAAGTGCAGAAATGCAGGGTAATAATCTGCCGGGAGCTGTTCATTCATAATAGTGTTCATTAATATTTCCCCCTTCATCTTTTCTTTCCTTTATTTTAGAACTTGCATTAGTCTTTGAACTAAGGAAGGACTCGTGGGTTGTAATTAAGCTGAAAAGTGTTTGTTTGGTTTTTCCAGATGAGAATTCTCCAGCCAACTTCTGGGATTCTAAAAACAGGGGTGTGACTGGAACCCAAAAAGGGCAAATTGTATGGAGAATTGAGCCTGGGCCCTATTTCATGGAACGTAAGTACTAAGCGAGAAATAGGAGTTTGTTACTGAAAATTCCATAAATATATGGAATCCTAGGGAGTCTTTTCTGAATTTATTATAAAAGTTTTTGGCTCTGATTTACATATTTATGCCATGTGTCTTCAAACTGGGAAATAATTGTTTTAGAAAATGCTCGTTAGACAATGTTCACATATTTCGAAAAAAGCATATGTAAATATATATGTGTGTAGGTATATACATATGCACATTACATATACCTTGTGAATGCATAGTATATAAAGCATGTATGGTTATTTTAATACTTTACACATTTTATATACCCTGTATCTACATTTGTAGTTAATATTTATTAATTTCAGGGAGCAGAAAGAATAATTCAAGATTTCAGTTAATTTAAAAGTTTTATTGGCCTATAGAATACTTTGCTATTATTTTTCCCAGCAGCAGTAACTATTGCATCTGTGTCCTGGTCTTTACAATTAGGTGAGAGAGTCTGGGCACACTGCCCTGGAGGTCAATTTTAAGAATCAGAAATTGGCTACAGATAACTCAGCCATTACCCAGTTGACCTGATGTTGTATTTCTTTGTAAATATAAATGCTTATACATAGTACATGGTTCACAGAAATATCTCATTCCTTTTTATTTAGGGTGAAAGGGAGTCCTTATATTTGCCACTAATACTATTGAGAACATAGTGTATACATTGTTGTGGAATAGATAGAAGTGTGAATGAATACGTGATTTACTGGGTGGTTCAAATTAACTTTTACATTTGGAGAATTCTTCATTAATGTAGGAAAAAATGGGATATTTAAATTTTTCTGAGTTGTTTAGTTTGTATAAGAATTAAGTTTTCTATGTTCAAGAGATTTAATATAGGAGAGTGTGTACGTGGATGTTAGTACTGAAGGATGGTACTTATTAAACCTTAAAATATAAAGTAAGGTTTGATTAAATGGGAACCTGATATAAGCATATTTTTATTGAAGTATATAAGTTTCTGTAATATAAAAAGTTATTTTCAAAGACTAACATCTGTTACTTTGAATTGCCATTAAAGACATCAGATAATTTCTTCCATATCCTTACTGGTAGGGCAGCATTTCATAACTTTCTCTAATCATGCTTCTCTCTCCAAAAGACTGTCTTTTTTTCATAGTTCACTATCTGCCTAGAGTTTCTCTTGAAACCTTAAAGGGAATTTAGTTTTTAAGGGAAAATGCCCATGATATAGCAATACATGAGAGGGGGAAAAGCAGATACATATAACAATTCTAACTAATATCATGACACATAGGAAAAAGTCCGGAAGGAGATCTGCCGAAATGTGAACATGGGTTGTTTCCTAGGAGGGAAGATTATGGGTAATTTGTTTTTCTTGCTCATTTCTACTCTACTTTCCAACATTTGGCCCAGCTGGCATTGCTATCCACTGATGAGAAAAATAAGTGATAAAAGAATGTGGGAGAAAATGGAATGGGTTACTTTCATTTAATGCGATTCCTCCTTTGAAAGGATCCCAGGGTTTAAGAGGCTGATGTAGCTGAGAAATTCTGCCAACTGAACTTCAGGGGAAAATGTAGAACAACCTTTTTGTTCTCTACAAAACGCCAGGCTGCTAGGAATGGTTCCTTCTGGTTAGAGTGTGCCGATTCATGTAGTGGGGCTCATGTGAACAACCTGGGAAGAAGTCAGTATCACATACTGCTATAATTTGGAACACTATGTGTGAAAAACCCTATTTGCAGAGTATCCCATTTGCCATGGTTGATTTTATTTCTCCTCCCAAAAGCTTTAGAGATTCTTAATGTCCTGGCTGATCAGGGTATGCTAATATCTCTGTCTGGATGAGTGTTTTTCTTTATACCTTGTTCTAGTATTTAATAGAAATAAGCTTGACATTGAAGCTAAGAATTGGGAATGAAGAAAAGAGTAGGGTTTTGTTGTTGTTGTTGTTGTTGCTTTATTTTCTCTTCTAAATTCCACCTTAATTCTGCACACACAAAATTGCAGATAATTGTGTATCATGACTGTAAAATTGGAAATACGCAGTAATGTTTTATTTAAGGACTGAGAAAAGTTGTGCACATTAAAATCCAAGACAGTGAATGAGAATTACAGAAAGATTTGGCTTTAGAATAAAGTCTACCTTCATTAATCAAAATGAGGGCTCCTCCAACACACATCCCTATCCTTTCAATGTGAAAACCTCAGGTAGTATTTATATGACTGCTTTGTAGTGCAGTCTGTGTCTTTTAGACATCATTTTTTTACCCCATATCTGGCTACAGCCGACCTAAGGGGACTTCCCAGCATAATGAAGTTTTGCTTGAACCTCTGGAGCTGATGGCATGGAACTTATAAAAAATTGGGCGGTGGTTAGACAGCTTCTATATTTTCAGCCTCTGATCTTGAAAACTTACGACTTTTAAAAACCTCTGCTTTCATCCTCAGAAAGAAAATTTATCTTTAGCTCATCAGAAGTTCAGGCAAAACAAAATTCTCTGAACATTGACCTAAGTTCATGGGCAAACCTTGATTTAAGTGCTGTCTAAGCTATTTCTGAATGTAAAGATGGCTTTAGTTTGTCTAGATGAAGCCCCAGAGGAGGCAGGCCGCCCAGACTTATATTATTACAGGGCCTACCTAAATGAATTTGAAGGACAAAGACGGGCTTAATTTTGGGCAGATGACCTTCTTAGGCACTGGACAGGAGGATCAACTTCCTCTGCACCTACTTGTCATAAGACTGTCAAAGAGTCCTCGGATGAGCTTATGCTTGCAGAAACCGAATGGGTCATCTTTGCAGGATGAGTCTTGAGTTTGGAAATGTAAGAGGTTTCCAAGTTGTCTTGTCATGTTCGGATGTCTCTGTTATTCTATAGTCTTATGTAGACTATGGTCATTCATTTATTCATTCATTCAGACCTGCTTTTGTCGTTCCTTCATTCCTTCTATTCATCTGTCCATCTATCTCTCCCCAGCCATCACGAGGTATTTATTAAGTGCCAACTTTGTGTCACATGCTCTTCTAGGAGCCCACTAAATCCTGGATCAGTGAATGAGCTTGGAAATAGTAAACTTCATTGCTGTGTGCTAAACTGCTTTGTGATCACTGAGGATAATATCAGAATATTGATATTGGTATAAGTGATATAGTGAGGAAACTGAGCATCAGAGATGTAAGTGGCTTGTGTCTTTAAGAGCCTTGTCTCTGATTGGTACTCAGATTAATTAATGTGCTTTCCAGGATGCAGTGCCTTGCCAAAAGAGAACCTTTATGGATGGCTTCTTTGGGGGTGGGGGTGAGGGAGGCAGGTGGCCTGGGCCTCTTATTTGTACTGTCAGACCTTTGCTTTAAATGTGTCCATTTCCAGGCCCCTTCCCGCCAACATCAGAATGACTTTTTTTGTCCCTTGGGTGGAGATTTGGTGCTTTTTATTTTCTACTCTCTTACTTTAGGCTTGGGATCCTGTTCATCCTCTAATCCTATTAGGTTTCTGCTACATCCACACTGATATTGTCTGTCTTTGATTTTCATGATTGTATATCTGAGCTTTAGCAGAGGAGGGTGAGGCCGTTCAGGCTCTTTTGACCCTTGTTAAAGAGAAGACAAGTTGCAGTAACATATAAATGATAAGTTCACCTGTCACTGGAAATGTGGGCAGATTTCCTCAAAAGCATGAGGATTAGAATGCGTTTGCTTTTTCCAGTTTGTGGCCTCTGAATAAAAGATCCTGTGAATAGGAATCATAATATGAAGAGTACAGTAAAAGCACATAGGGCAATGGTTAAAATAATTTTTTAGAATAAATTGCAGTTAGCTTGATTTTTAAAAGATTATTCTTTTTTTAAAAAAAGATTTTATTTATTTATTTATTTGAGAGAGAACTAGAGTGAGAGAGCACAAGTGGGGGGAGCAACAGAGAGAGAGGGAGAAGCAGGCTCCCAGAGCAGGGAGCCCGATGCGGGGCTCGATCCCAGGACCCTGGGATCAGGACCTGAGCCGAAGGCAGACGCTTAACGACTGAGCCACCCAGGCGCCCCTCAATAAGTGGATTTTTTTGGGAGAAAATACTCTTGCTTTTTATAGTCTGAAGGAATACGTGCACGCGTGCGCACACACACACACACACACACACATCTATTTCCATAATTTGAGGCCAATAGGAGGAGATGTTGGCTGCTACACTGGGCTGTGGAAAAACCATTCTCAGGGAGATGGGGTCATTCATTGCTCCTCAGTCCTATATCTCCACTGCCTGTGCACAAGGCTGGCTGGCCCCACGGAGGGTGGGGGTGGGTGAACATTCACATGTTCACTTTTACCTATATGTGTATCTGTTTCTCAGAAGTAGCTCTTTGTTTTCCTATTGCAGTTAGTGGTTACAAATGGTAGCTAGAGTAGAAGCATGAATGCCAGCTCCCCTTTTCTACCCCTCTTGTGTATTCTTCTAGGTTACCTCTTCCCACAACTAAGATGTTCAAGCACATCGATCAGAATGCTGCTCTCTCTCTCCTCTCTCTCACTCAGAGGGGATGTTGATTAGTTACACCATTTTTTAAAATCTTGAGTGACCTCATAAAGCACTAACTAATATTTGAAGAGGAACGCTCCCACTCCGCGTGGAACATTGCTGTAGTTTTAAGGAGCAGAACTGGTATTCTGCTGAGGGAGTGGGCTCGTTTTAATCCAGGTGCAAATAACTAGAGATTTTTGTTATAGCAAGGAATAAATAATACCCGGAATGGGTTCACAAGCAAAGCTGGCCGGGCTATCAATATCCTACAAACAAAAATCAACTTTTTTTTGTTGTTGTTTGGTCTCATAATCTGTTACCTAGCAGACTCTTAAACCTTACAAAAGGGGAGATAGCATCCTAACTTGAGAGGGAGTTAGGGGAAGATGTCTTATAAAAATGCACTTCTCTTTATGGAAGAATGAGCCGCTCACTCACTTAGCACTGATTTGATCTATGTGGTGCTGCGGCGGGCAGAGTCACAGACTGCTGCTGGTTGCTGGCATTTCGAGTGTGATACTCATGAGCTCATGCCTGCAGAATTCAATGCTCGGGCATGTCACTGAGCTTGTTCTGCTTTGGCAGGCTTTGTGCATGGTGCTTAGCTTTGTTCCTATAGAATACATGCTATTGGTCTTGGAAGAAAGCAAGTGGGAGAGGAAGGTTTGCTCTGATCTGCACAGCTGTTATTGTTTCAGTAATAACTAAAAGCTTGTGTTCATGTTTGGGAAAGTCATTTGCAGAGGTGTTCCCAGACAAGTGATGTAAAGCTAGAATTCCTGTGTAGGTCATCTTGCTGTTCCTCAAACCCAGCATGTTCGTTCATGCTTTCCTTTTGCCACTCCTCACTCTCTTGGCTCCATTTTTCTCATCTGTAAGTTTGAGTCCAGACCAATTCGTTCCATGAGGCCTTTCTGACTCCACTGTGTCCTCACTAATCTTCTCCATGGTCTCTATACTCTGCTACCTCATTGCTCTTTCTTTTTAGTGCTTGTCTTTTATATTTTGTCCTGCCTATAATTGTCATCCTAACAGCAACACTATAAAACGCCTGCTAGACCAGAACCCTTTCTTGGATTCCCTTGCACTCTCTGGCATGTATTGTGATGGGTACATGGTAAAAATCTTTTGCTTGATGATGCTAATTACACTGTGAATCACTGCACTGTGATTATCATACATAATGGAAACACTCAATATTTTACCCCATGATAGAGTTAATTTTTTGAGCTTTAGTATTTTGTCATTGATAAGAAAATATGATATTGTTTTCCTGTATATAGTATTTTTAATCCTATATAAATTTCTAAAAGAGAGTTTTTCTTCAATCATTATATCTTTCTCTTAAAATAGTCAAACCAAATACTCTGTAGCAGGCCATTTGGTACAGTCAGGAGCGTCAGTAGACTGTTAACTTCCTTGGGGAAGTACATCTAGTGGCCCCATTTTAATAGCCATGTGGCTCAGTTGAGAGAGGAGCTCTACTCCTGCAGGCTGGGACTCTTCCCCGCAGCCTGCCCATCAGCATCATTGCCTATGTTACACACAGCTTGGGAAAAGAGCATCTTGTGGTGACACTGCAGTGACTCAGATACTCTGTATACAGAGAAATTCTGGTGGCTGTGGGTTCTATCTTTGACACATTTTGGCTTCATGGTCTTTGAAATTGTCATTACTTTCCAAAATCAGTAATTGACATTTGAGTTGCTTTTCTATCAAGCTGAGATTATATATACATGCACACACATGCATACACACACACACACACGCACACACCTACGTGTGGGGAGAGAGCTATATTTCCACCTATCTATCTATCTATCTATCTATCTATCTATCTATCTATCTATCATCTATTTTTCTAACCATATCTATATATCTATATGCCAGAGGTTCCTAAATTTGATCCCTGCCCAGTGGCTGCATTGAAGCCACTTGGAAAATTAAAATACAAATTCCCTATCCTGGCAGTCTACTACAGTATTCTTTTTTACTTCGTTAGACTGCTTTTTTTGCTATTTCCATTGACAGCAGCAGTCTGTCTATGTTGTAGAAGTTAGGAGTGAAGGCTTTGGAATCGGACGGATTGGGTTTGAGTCCTGACTCTGTCATTTCCTGTTTGCTCGACCTTCTGAAAGCCTCAGCACTTCTTCTATAACATGGGGACAGGCATCTCTGCCTCCCAAGGTTGAGGTGAGGATTAAATAACAACATGAGCAGAGACAAGCATGGGGGCTGGCACGCGGTGGACTACCTTGACAAAAGGTGACCAGTTCAATTCTTGCCCTACACTATACATATTTTGGTGTGTTGTTTTTGTGCATTATTTTTCTCATGTATTCAGGATGTTCTTAGAAAATGTCAGAGGACCATATAAAATCAGACAGGAGTTGGTATCCTTTGTTTCTCTGATTGGAAAAGAAGGGGTCATTCAGAGAGTCCTGCGTAGGATTTTCTGAGAGGTGATGTGGCGGATTTCTTCAGCCAATTCCTAAATGACTTGTCTCAGTGTTTCATTCCTTGTTTTTCTCCAATCGATGTGCAGCGGAGATAAAAATCTGTTTTAAGTACTACCACGGCGTTAGTGGAGCCCTTCGTGCCACCACCCCTTGCATCACCGTGAAGAACCCGGCTGTGATGGTGAGTGCCCCTCATTGTCGCCTTCCTTGGGAGGTCCCCAGGGCCCTGGTTTCTATTTTGGCCTGTGCAGCTCTGGCAGGGTGGTGGGGAACAGTGAAGAAGGAAACACATAACAGCATGGGCACCCATTTTAGGAAAGGAAATAACTTACAGGCTGGCTTACCTGGATCCATAGCACAAATCAGTGGACAAATCTGATTTAATTTATAACAACTTTGTAAATAGGCACCTCTTCAGAGAACCCATTCAGGAAGGAAATTAATGAGTACCTCATCAAACTTAGTCTTAAACTTAGTTTAAATTTAATCTAGGTGACTGGTTGGGAGGAGATGGTGGCATTGCATCTTAACGTGGGTCTAATTTATGTGAACTCAGTGAGTAAAGGGAAAAATAACAATTTAAATCATGTGTGACTCTACCTGCCAGTCAACTTAACAAGCTTTCACCCCAAAGAGTATGAGATGGGGATCACGTGTGTGCTGTTCCCTCAGGAGGTCTGAGCACCAGATCCCTTCATGCTGAGTTGGACTCTAGTGCCTAAAGATACCACACATTTTTGGTATAACATGGTTGCTCAATGTGGCCAGGTCTTCAAGTGAAGAAAGAGATACCTAATTTAGTTTTGGGGGAACCGGTTGTGTTGGACTTTTGAAGGAAAGTATGTCTATTTTCAGCTTGGTACTTTCCAAAGGATTACTTTTCACAATTTTGTGATTTTTCACTTCATTGACTAACTTCAGAATCTAACAGCTTTACAATATGTACTCCATTTACACGAGTGGTTGGGTTCAGATGGTTTGGAGATTCTTAGAGTCTAAGATATGTAAAGCATTGCAGTTACTATAAGCCATTAATAAAAATCAGGCCATGAAATTATAGAAGAAAAATATCGACTCCCACAATATAGAATCTTTATAACTTTGTGTACGTGTGTGTGTGTGTGTGTGTGTGTTGTGTGTATGTATGCATTTATAGATGCATGCATTTTTGGAAATAGGCAACTGGCCATGTTGACTCCTTGAAATTCAGAAAGTAATCTCTGCAGGTGGCATTTTGAAATTGTCCAGACCCACCAATGTGGTATTCATGAAGTCTTTCCTTTTCATTTATTCATTCAAACAAATATTCACTGGGTACCTGCTAAGTACCTGGCATTGCATCCACCACCAAGTATGACACAAGCCAAAACCCGGGCCTTGCTCTCACATCTGGTGGGGAGAAGAGACATCAATTAAATTATTTGAGTGATAATTACTATGAGGGGGAGTAAAATGGGACTATGACAGCATGTATTAGTAGGATTTATCCTGATCAAGTAGGTCTTAGAAGGCTTCCTTGAAGAAGGTGTGTTTGCAGGACAATCTGAAGGATGAGTAGGAGTTACTTAGATGAAGAGGGGGAGGGAAAAGCATTTCAGATAGTAGGAATAGTATGTGTAACATCTTCAGTATCTAAATATTCTTCTCATATTTGAATTATATTTGAGTTCCTATGTAGTAAACATCATTTAGAATTTAAAAAAATAATCAATATTTACTACACAAGATTTTGAAGGAGAATAACAATTATTGATTACAAAATCTGCCACGACACAAACTAAGCCCTGGAATATGCTTTAATTAATATTCTAAAAAGAAAAACCCTAGAAAAGTGAGGTTGTTTTTTTTTAAATAATAAAACCTTTGAAAAATTAACTTTGTATAAAATTAGACAGTAGCTTCCAAACATGATTTTCTGGATTCAGATTTTCTTAGACTTGAGCAATTTCAGTGATCAGATAGCATCGAAGACAGCAGGACTTTACAGCTTGGTGAACATTGATCTCATTCCATTGATTTTGCATTGAGATTACTCTGTCAAAGCCTGTGGATAGTTTGGAGATAATTAATTTGCTTCAGACAGGTTTTAGAGAACCTTAAAAGCTTCCCAGATACAGCTCTGCCAGAGCCAGAATATTTTGGTTCAAGGGGTGACTAATGAAATTGGTGGTCAGTAGGTTTCTGACCCAGCTGAGACAATTGGGTCTGTATCCAAAATTGGAAGGCTGTGCCACATGGACACCTCATGATGCTGTGTTTCTATCACAGCACAGTGGCCACCTCGTCATAAGACATGCGTCTATTTAGTGTGACCGGTTGACAATGCTGACATTTACAAAGACCTTTAGTTTAATTATTCCATGACCATATGCGAAGAACAGTCCTGGAAGAAGTAGTGGAGCTACTCTGTAGGGAAAGAAATGAGCTGCCATCCTCATCTTATGGTCTCCTCTCTCACATGTCCTTTTGCAATGTATCAGGGATTTTAAAAAGTTGTGTCTTTTCTGTCATTTGCACTTTGACGTCATTGTCATTCACCAGAGTACACAGCGATTTGTGTCTCAGGCACTTGGAACAGGAAATCCTCTGGCTTCGGGGACATAAAAAGGCTAGCATCACTCACTACCACATATTGTTCCAACACTTGATTGTCAGTGTTGCTTCTGGGTTTTCCTGGAATGAATCTATGGAGTGAGTTTATTTAAAAACCTCTCTCTAAACATTGAGAGCAGATGTGTTTCTTATCACTGATGTCCCTATATCTACCGACAGTGTTTGGTCTTTCCTGACCTTATTGTCATGAATAATAAAATTGAATTCTTTGAGTATTATTTCAGATAAGCATTTGCCATAGTTGTAGTAAAGGACACAATCTGTGAATTCTGGGAGAATTGTTTCACATTAGCCTTTTGTAAGACAGTAGTTTATATTTTTAAAATGAGAGTTTGAAGGCATTTTCTTGTGTTTCTGTAATAGCTTATAACATTTTAAATAAGTTTAAATGAAGACAGACCATGAACCTTTTCCATCTCATTTAACTCACTTAGCAGCGCTATGGCTTAGCAGGAAGAGACATCATGTTTTTGGAGGGAACACATCTCATTGGGCAGTGTGGTCCACTGGGGGGGGGGGCTATGTTTTATCAGATGTCTGGCTGTACCCGGGACTTGGAGGGGCAGGTTGCTAAGTGTCTGTCTCAGTAGCATCCTGTACGACCTCACTCTGTTCATCACTCTATAGCCCAGGGGTGTGTGCAGTGAAAGCGGGATGACACAGTGACAGCCATCAATTATCTGGTCAGTTTGCTGCTGTCTCTGTTCCAGGTAAGCTGGGGGTGATGAGTCAGTAGGGGAACAACACAATATAATAAACCATGCATACTTGTTGAGAGCCAACCCAGAATTATCAAGTCGTAGTTTTATGGATGAGATAAAATGAGGATACCTGGATGGTACCCAAGTATATTGCAGATGACATTTGAAAACATCAGGAATCAGTTAAGTGCCATACAATATAGTTTTGATTAAGGTACAGGAAGTAGAGAAGGAAGCAGAAATTTATATTTCAAAATTTGAATGGAATTTATTTTAAAATTGCTCAACTTTGCTTGGCTTAGTGAAAGTTTTATCTCTTAGCAGTATATGATTTTTTAAAAATTGAAGTATAATTAGCAGTGTTAGTATTAGTTTCAGGTGTACAATATAATTATTCAACAACTCCACATAATACTCAGTGCTCATCATGATAATTGTACTCTTTAATCCTTATCACCTATTTCACCCATCCTCCCACCCAGCTTTTCTCTGGTAACTACCAGTTTGTTCTCTGTATGTAAGAGTCTGGTTTTTTGTTTATCTTTTTGTTGTTGTTGTTTGTTCATTTGTTTTGTTTCTTAAATTCCATATATGAATAAAATCATGCGATGTTTATCTTTCTCTAACTTATTTCACTTAGCATTATATTCTCTAGCTCTATCCCTATTGTTGCAAATGGCAAGATTTCATTCTTTTTATGGTTGAGTAATATTCTATTGTGTATATGCATCACATTGCCTTTATCCATTCATCTATCAGTGGACACTTGGGCTGCTTCCATATCTTGGCTATTGTAAATAATGCTGCAATAAACATAGGGGTGCATGTATATTTTCAAATTAGTGTTTTTGTTTTCCCTGGGTAAATACCCAGTAGTGTAATTACTGGATTGTATGGTAATTCTGTTTTTAATTTTTTGAGGAACCCACATACTGTTTTCCACAGTGGTTGCACCAGTTTGCATTTGGTGGTGTGTGATTTTTAAGGGAGTAAGGGAGTGCTGCAAAGATTAGATGCAAGGGTTTAATCTAAAGTTTAGAATTAAAATGTGGTTTCTGTTTCCTAGCTATTCAAAATACATTCTGCCTTCACTTCTGTCTCTTCTAGTATTGTGGACTTCTTTTTTAGAGAAACAGGAAACTCTTTTTTTTCTAGTATATTACAAATTGAGCATTAACTGTACATAAATTGAGAGAAAGCCTAGATCTGCTATGTGGTCCATAAATGACTGGTTTCAAGTGAGATATAATTTACTTGAAAGCTTTTAGGAAAACTTTTACAATACAGTAACCAGTACGACAGCATTGCAAACTCCTGTCATTGCTAATTATCATACCGCGTGCCATGTACCTGCAGCAAAATAAAATAGGAATCTACAAGGGCAATGGAACATCCACATGGTCACTCAAATATTTGGCAAGAGAGGACAATTCTGCATATATGTGGATGAGCTTGATATAAATCACCTGTTTAGTTTATTCTGTTTTCCTAATAAATCTAAAGGAATTTGGTGTTTGGTTTTTAACTTAAAGGATTATTTTAATACAGTAATAGCAATATAAGTGCATTACTACATCTCAGCTATATTCTTACCAAAGAAATAAAAGGCCATGAAGTATGTTGATTCATATCCCAGGGAATTTAGAAGTTTGTGTTGGTTTCATTTAGGGTAAAGATTAAATTGAGGTATGACTTTCTCATCTCTGAGAATATACGTTTATGTCTCAATACCAAGATGTATAGCATATGAAAAGGCATACACTACAATGCATGTTTGACACAAAAAATCATTATATTTGCAAATATATGTGGCTTCTTAAGAAAGTTGAGTACCATCATACTCCTGTGAAACTTCCAATACGTGCTTTTCCTCTGCAGATGGGGGCAGAAGGCATGGAAGGAGGTGCTTCTGGAAATCAACATTCTCGGAAACTAGTTAGCTTTACCTTGTCAGGTAAGGATGTCTTTAAACATGATGTCCAGTTTGAAAATATATAATTTCAAAGACATGAATGGTCATTTTTGTCTATAGATTCTCATGTATTATATATGAAGTAGTTATTTATATTTTTTGGTAATATTTCTGGAAATTCAAGTATATTTCTTACCATTAGATTATTAATATAAACTTGGAGCTTATTTCTTCCACCAGGTTTTCTAATGATAAAAAGACTGCAACTATGTATAGTTACTTTAAAAGAACACTGTAATGTAATGTGTGCTCACCCCACTGTAGAACTTTCTCTTGAAAACCTTGAAACACCTTGTTTCTTGAAAACAAGGTGTGCTTAGCTCATCTAGAGAAAGGAAAAAGTTGGAGACTAAGAAAAATAAGCCAAGGGATGCTCCTGTTTCTGTGGAGAAATACACATAAAAATTGGAAAGCTGATAAGACAATTTTTTGTTTATTTTCTGGTTAGTGAAATACTCTAATTGCTTATATGTTTATGAAAAAAACACTGCTTTTCAGATTTTGAGTTGGAACTCATTTGTGTTTTGTAAGTTTAATTTAGTTAAAACCAGCAGTTAAAAAAAAAAAGAATAGGAAAAAAAATCAGAGTTTTACACTAAAGGGAAATATTTTTTCATAAAACATCAGTTTATACAAACTGAAAACTTTTGCACAAGAAGTACACACACCTATGCATGGGTGTACTGGATTTCAGAGTAAACTAGATTTCATGCACTGTGAACTGTGCAAGACTGTTGAATCACAGATCTGCACCTCTGAAACAAATAATACATTATATGTTAAAAAAAAAAAAAGATAGCAGGAGGGGAAGAATGAAGGGGGGGAAATTGAAGGGGGAGATGAACCATAAGAGATGATGGACTCTGGAAAACAAACTGAGGGCTCTGGAGGGGGGTGGGAGGATGGGTTAGATGGGTATTAAAGAGGGCACGTTCTGCATGGAGCACTGGGTGTTACACACAAACAATGAATCATGGAACACTACATCAAAAACTAACGATGTAATATATGGTGATTAACATAACATAATAAAAAAATTTAAAAAAATTTGAAAGCTACCGATTTAAAAAAAAATAATTGGCACTTATAAAGTCAAGATTTGCACTAAGAAAATCAGTATTTGAAATGGACTTTTAAAATAGAAAACTGTGCTACGATACATACAAAATGCAGTCGAACAGATGTCTGTCACCGTAAGATGTTTTGTTTTCATTTTTCCATGGGTACAGTGCTTCTGAAATTTAAATTAGATTCACTTTTCTTGGCTGCAAAAAGTGTTGTGAATGAAAATTGACATTCTCAAGAGTGAGAGAAAGCTGATCTTGAAAACAGACATTTCCATGATGCATGATCACCACCTATGATGAAAGTGTGCACATTAGTTCATTGCTGGCCTTTGCCTTCGGAGTGTCCATTTCTGTTCTAGCATGTTCCTTCTCTCCCATGTGAGGTTGCTTACTGTGAAAGCCTTTTTTGCTTTGATTCTCTGGCAAAATCTCAGAAGTCGTAAACTGGTGGCTTATGCTTCAAATTTAGCCAATACGTATGTTTTGGTTGGACCCCTCAGGGTTTAAAATGTAACTAGGTTTTTAGAAGGGCACTTAGAAGTACCACGGCCAGTGTTAATAGTCCCCTGCTCCTCATTATCTGTGTGTCTCCTGAAAACATTTATCTGGCTATGCTTTAGACCTTCACAGCCCTGAGCGGCTGCAGGTACAGAAATCCTTCATTTATAGGTAGGGAACAATTAGCCAACCTTCATGGCTCAGAAAATTTAGAGTTTGACCATCCCATGGTTTTCTTAGTTTAGAAGCATTGCCCTAAGCTTTCAAGTGATCAATATCATTCTAAATATGATCTATTTCGACTCGAGGGGATGATAATTAACTCCCCATAGGAGCATGACCATCTAGAAGCTGAAAATCCCAGGACATTTTTCTAAAAGTAGGAAATAAGCTTTGGGGCACCACCAAATGCTCCTTCTTTAAATATAATTGCCTCTAACATCCCACCTCAATACACATGGTGGCTGGCTACTTTATAACTGTTTTATTTCCTAATGTATTGTCAGATATTTGCAGATGGTGTACAGAAGGGGCTAAAAATTATAGAAGATGAAAGCAGTTCTATAATGGTAATTCTGAAAAATTAATCCAGTTGTAGCATGTTGACAGTGAATGGTAATATTTATCCAAGAGCATTTAAGTTCTGTAGAATGGCTACCTGCAAATGTTCTACTCTTGATTATCTATGGTAAGTAGGGACACAAATAATTGAATTCTACATCTAAAACAAAAACTCTGTTTTGATGAATATCTTCATCCTTTTCTCCATATAAGACTTTAAACAAGGATATTTAACATGTCATACCTTTGTGACTTTGAGTTCTTTTTTGGTCTATGAGGTTATGTGGACACTTATGAGCAATAAAATATATAAAAGACAAAAGGGACAAGCAAGAGCAGGAATGAGATGGATAAGGGAACTGAATAATCAAACTACAAATAATTGGTAATTTCTTACATTTATTAATGGAGATTTATTTGTACAGTGTTCCTTGTGGCAAAATTTGGTATGAGGGTTATTTAATAGTGACATCCTTCATCATGGTGGCTTAATCTTCCAATGGGATGCTTTTTGTTCAAAGGAATGCTTTGCATGAATAATTTAGCTCTGTCAGGCTTTGTGGCAGCCATTTCTGTACATGTTACTCCTCATTTACTGCAAAGAAATCCCTTCTTTAGGAGTAAATTTAATATCTAAAGAATATTATTCTTCTGTCTTTGAGTCTGAGGCAAGCATAATCAAGAAAGATAAGAAAATAAATATGCAAATGGTGTTTTTCTCTTGAAGCTATTTTATGCTAACTAAAGCCAAGTGAAAACATGTAGCATTATTAAATTGATAGTCAGAGGCAGATGCTGTATTAATAATGACTCCGTAGCTTGTGAAGTGCCGGGACTGGGGGGCTGTAAGACTAATGAGCTTACAGTGGCTTCCCTGAAGAGCCTGTCTAGTTCCTTACTCATCTTTCCCTTCTGCCATTGGTTTTCAGAGCAAACATCTTACTGTATTTCATGCAGTGTCCTTAACATGAAGGCTTCCTGGTTGAATTTTTCAACCTTTGCCGACATATTAAAACTGCCTCCTCTGCTTCCCATCAGTTGTCATCGGCCAACACGCTAGGCCACAAGTTCTTGTCGGCCATGGGGGAGCCTCCTCCAGGCAGCACTCCCTAGAGAATATGGTTCTATGGGCAACCCCAGGCCAATTCTGTCCTACTGAGAAAGACCATGTTTCAAGAATGGGCTTGAGGGGCGCCTTGGTGGCTCAGTCGGTGGGGCGTCTGACTCTTGATCTCAGCTCAGGTCTTGATCTCAGGGTCGTGTGTTCAGGCCCCATGTTGGGCCCAGCGTGGAGCCCACATTAAAAAAAAAATGAATGGGCCTGAGTAGGGTGACTCAGGTGACCTCCTATAATTTAAGGTCACCATAAATTACTGATCTGGGTAATCCAAAGATCTCTGAAGCTTCAGAGGCATCTGCCGAATTTCTCGCTGGACCAAGAGTCAGCACCTCCCTAGACTGATCATAATTGCATCAAGTTACTTAGAAACAGTCTATGATTGCAGAAGCTTTGAAGATCACTTAGCTCTCAGGCCAATCTTATTCACACTAATATTCTCAGAAAGGTGTTGAGGACCCAGCGGATCTGGGTTTATTGCCTGACATGTTTGTATCCCTTAGCCTGACTCCTTTTAAAAGTCTCTTCACTTAGCAGACTTTAGCCAGAAATTTTAGCAGCTCACCTAGTGTGAAATAACAACTAGTGACTCTAAGATGAGTTCTGACACAGTCATCAAATATGTAAGTTCCTAAACAGTAACCTCATAATCACTTAATACAGCAGGTGGCATTCAAATTTTAGAAATATTTCTGGTCTCCTTTTCCCCCTAACATTCATTACATTTGTGGAGTATATATGACATTTTAAATGTGGTACAACTGAATATGTGCTCTCGAGTTTTATCCCCAATTAAACATAGGTCTGTAATTTCATATATGTATGTAGAAGACTTAATTTTTCTCTCATGAAAGAACATATTAGAATTCTTTTTTAAAAAATAAACTACTGGGGAGCCTGGGTGGCTCAGTCATTAAACGTCTGCCTTCGGCTCAGTTCATGATCCCAGGGTCCTGGGATCGAGCCCCACATTGGGCTCCCTGCTCTGCAGGAAGCCTGCTTCTTCCTCTCCCATTCCCCCTGCTTGTCTTCCTCTCCCACTCCCCCTGCTATCTCTGTCAAATAAATAAATAAAATCTTTAAAATAAATAGATAAATAAAAAGAATTTTTCTCAAGATGCTGTTTGAAATGCTGTTTGCCAGACCATGTGAAGATGCGCATGTTAGAATCAAGATGATTCCCAGGCAAAGTCAGTTTAGGTGCGTAAGGTGATGGTAAATGTTTGGCTTCGTTTCTGTGGCCTGTCAGGAGACACCCCCCCCCCCCTTGCTGGAATTAGTCATAACTCACTTGTCCTCACTTATCTAAGTGATCATACTGTGAATAACTTTGTGATTGTTTTGCTGTCGTTTACCCATCCCTCTCTCTTCCCCACCCTCCCTCCTCTCTTTCAAGATCTTAGAGCAGTTGGGCTAAAGAAAGGGATGTTCTTCAATCCTGACCCTTATCTTAAGATGTCCATTCAGCCAGGGAAGAAGAGCAGTTTCCCCACCTGTGCGCACCATGGGCAGGAGAGAAGGTCTACTATCATCAGTAACACCACTAATCCAATTTGGCACCGAGAGGTAAGATGATCCTCAGGGGTTTTCTACTTGACAGGAAGTTGGCCAAGTCCATCTCTGTTCTGTGTATCATTGAGCTGTTTATGAGCATGGCAGGATGGCTGAGGGGTCTCGGGGTTCTGTTAGAAAGAGGGACGAGAATGAGATAGTCCCTTGTAGCCAAGGCCAGGTGTAGGGCAAAGCAAGTGAAGTCCTTACCTCAGATGCACGACTTAAGGGGGCCAAAAGACTCAATCATCAAAATTAATATTTTAATGAAAATTTTTTTAGAAAAATCAAAATCAATGCAAAAAAATTCATGATGAACAAATATTAAAATTTTAAGTAAGGACAGGGTCAGTAATCATGCCTTGCTGAGCCATATTAGAGCCTGAGGCAGAAAGAAAAGTCAGTAACACCAATCCTATTTTTTTTTTTAATTTTTTTTTTTTTAAGATTTTATTTATTTGAGAGAGAGAGAATGAGAGACAGAGAGCATGAGAGGCAGGAGGGTCAGAGGGAGAAGCAGACTCTCCACTGAGCAGGGAGCCCGATGCGGGGCTCGATCCCGGGACTCCAGGATCATGACCTGAGCCGAAGGCAGTCGCTTAACCGACTGAGCCACCCAGGCGCCCCACCAATCCTATTTTTATTTAAAATTTTATGTTTTTGTACCTGAGACTAATACAACATTTATGTTAACTAACTGGAATTAAAATAAAAAACTTTAAAAGCCCTCCCAATGTTTTGTTCTAGTATATATTCAGTACGGATTAAGGGAATTTCTCTCCCTATGGGCTTTGGCAAATGTTTTTCGGATTTCTAGATTTTGGTTAATTAAATAAGCTATTCAAGGACTCGTCATCCTGAGTGAAGCCAGATTGTTGATGTGTTGATGGTAGATACCTTAGAGTTCCTTACAGCTACATTATGCTACCTGTCATCTTAGTGCACACCATCATTAAAGTCAAGTGGACCAAACAGAGACATTGTTTCTCATCTACTGAACAAAGTAGGAGCTCTCCCACCATTTCTCAGAGATCCAAGACATGTTTCACCTATTAGTGTTAGAGTGTTCATTGGCATAGGAGTTATACAATGAGTCAGATCATTCCCTAAATGTTTAATGACAACAATATGTTCTGATAGTTTTGTAGAAATATTTCACTGGGGCGGGAGATAGTTCAGGGGGTCTAAAACCAATTGGAAAAAAAAGGTATGGCTATTTGAGACTTGCCAGCGCAGCAAGATGTTTCTCCTGAGAAGTTCTTATGGTTATTTAAATGGATTAAATACTGCATGTATTCTTAACACCTGGTTTAAAAAACTACTTATGATCTCCAAATAGTAAATAACTCTTAAAGGCATACCACTTAATTTAACACATTTAGAAGCCTAGAAGACATAACATGCATCTCACTATGAGCTCTAGAAGGAACATAGTGGATATAGGAATGATACTGGCAACAACTTTCTTTTGCTAACATTTTATATTTACAAAGTTCTTAACCATGTTATCAGTGTATGCCTAATAAGGAGGTATAAGGGATGAGATCATCATCTCTCCATTTTGATGATTAAGAAAATAAAGCTTGAAAGGTTTATGTAACTAGCTGCTCAGAGACACAGGTAGTGCTTAAACTCAGCTCTCTTATACTCAGCAAGTGCTTTTTCCATTCAGCAGATTACTAGACTCCATGGCCTTTGGCAGAACTTTAATTGTTATGACTAAATGAACTTAGTGGTGCCTAAGTGTAAGACTGGCTGGCACCGTTCGCATCACTGTGGTTGAGTGGATAATGTCAGGGAAGGGGCGAAATGGTTCAGGTTAGATTCTGGCCCCATCACTTCCTTATCCTGAGATCTCATCCTTGAAAATAGTATTTGTAAAGCTAACATGAAGGTAATGTACGTGACAGCCTTTGTAAATGAATAAAGCTTTTTATATTTATTTTGTATTCTTATTAATAGCCAATCTGATTCTCTCTAATGGCATTCCTAAGCAAAACAACAAAGCTTATGTTAACTTCATATTTTTATTTTTCTGTCCCGTGTGCCTTTAAATTAAGTACTTTCCATTGAAACATTGTTTTATTCTGATATTTATCAGAGAAACCACAGTATTCTATAGATGTTCCGACTTTAGCCACTAAGTGGAAGAGTATTTTTTTTTTTTTAAAGATTTTATTTATTTATTTGACAGAGAGAGACACAGCAAGAGAGGGAACACCAGCAGGGGGAGTGGGAGAGGGAGAAGCAGGCTCCCCGCAGAGCAGGGAGCCCGATGCGGGACTCGATCCCAGGACACTGGGATCATGACCTGAGCCGAAGGCAGTCGCTTAACCAACTGAGCCACCCAGGCGCCCGTGGAAGAGTATTTTAACCTGTGCTGTACAACTTCAGAATCCCATAGGATGAGGAATTAAAATTGCTCTTAACCAAACACAGTGATAATTCAAAACCATCCTGTAACAGGGTATTAAATTTCAAAGAATTGAGATACAATAAATGCGGTAAGTACTAAAATTGCATTGTGTACAATTTAATATTTGATAGCATCTCCATAAAATGTTGAACCAGGAAGGGCTGAATGATTGAAGGAGCTTCTTTTGTCCTGCAGATCCTTAACTGGTGCCTGTAATCACTGTGAATGCTAATGATTCTAAATGAACAGAGAATGGACAGTGGCTGCAGATATTTCTAGCAATGTGGACTCTAAGTCATTAGGATTTAAGAGATACCATTTTCTGTAATAATGAAATGATATAATTTCATGTTTGTCTTTCTTCTGAATCAACATGTTATCTGTTTTCGTTTTCAGAAATATTCCTTTTTTGCACTTCTTACTGATGTCTTAGAAATTGAAATTAAAGACAAATTTGCCAAGAGCCGTCCCATCATCAAGCGTTTTCTGGGGAAACTAACCATTCCAGTCCAGAGATTGCTGGAGCGGCAAGCCATTGGGTAATCAGACCCCACTTGTAGGGATCTTGTTGAGATTAGTTTGCACAGAAGCAACTGAAATGAAACTTTGTAGTCCTAGGACTTTTACTGAGAAGAAGTGGTAAGATAATTCTTTTAAAAATGAAAGTGTTTGCATATACTCATTAAACTGTGCAGGACAAAAGCAATTTGTTTTCATTATATACCTTTTTTTTTTGTATCTATCTTTTCCAAGATGTGCCTACCATTAACATTTCTGTGTCAAATGTCATAGCACTCAGTTGTTTTTGAGTATATTGAAATCTTTCAGTAAAAGTCTCTCCCTAGGGCAGGATTCTAGAGTCAGGTCGACAGCTCCCTTGTCCTAATTAATCCCATCTAGACAACTCGCTATTCCTGAATAACAAAAAACGACCTTGTTTTAGGGCCATTTAAAATAAGACCTTGACTCGTAGGGGGTATTATCATAGAGCTCCTAGACCTATACATTCATTCAGACAACTAAAATTTACTCATTGCGAGAATTTTAAAATGTGATTTGATGCCTGTTTTCTTTCCGTGAGCTTTTTGTAAGTTGTGAATAAACTAGTTAAGAAATCATAACATCCCTTATCATAAACGGTGTATACGTATTTCTGCGTGGTTGTTGCCAGCGAACTCAGTACCACTGCTGCTCTGAGGTAGCACTGAGGGTACTGTTTTGGTATCTTCTTCACCGTAAGAAAACACGAGCAAATGGTAGTAGTGGTCATGGTTGCAGTGGCAGCAGAAGTGGTAACAATGGTAGTAGCAATAGTAATAAATAAAAGTGAACAAGCTGAAAAGATGCCGAGAGTTTATTCTATGTCAGAGCTTAAGTACTTTGCTTTCATTAACCCATGTGACCTTCTCAGCAGCTCTGGGAGATAAAAAGGGTGATTATACCCATTTCCGAGATGAGGAATCTGAGACTAGCAAGCGACAGGTGGAGCTGGGACTTGAGTGCAGATCAGTCTGCTCTAGAATCCTGGCTTCTCTACAACACTTCAAGGACGGGCAGCAATGTGTTATTATTCCGGCTAACTAAGGAAGGTTGATCATTCATATTCATTCTGCAACTAATGGACTGTTTTATTTTGGCACGTCATAACTTACTTGGGCATTCCTCATTGAAAAATACAGAGTTTAGACCAGCTGAACTCGAAGGCCCCTTCAAAATCTGAAACTAAGAGATTATAATGGATTTTAATTCTCTGGCCATCAGAGACAATGGAATTTGTGGTCGAGCCAGCACACATGAAGTAGGAATATTATACTGAAATTCTAGTGCCTGGTTTATCTGATAAAAGCTAGGAAATCACAATTATTGCTTCTGGTAGAGATCGTTTACATTAGGAAGTTTTTTAAAAGTTATTTTTAGGATTTATAAAAAGTGAAAGATTTAGAAGAGAAAGATAACTATGGTAAATACAGTATATCTATAATTTAATTTATATAATTATCATCATATAATTTACAGAATATATATGACACATGATAAAAGTGTGAATTTATGTATACCAGTAAGAATGATGAAGGCAAAATAAAACCTTTTCAGCGTGTGAAACCGTTGTTGACTTGCTGGCTTTTCATTTAGTCTTTTAAACAATTGGACACTTCAAGTACTGCCAGTCATGAATTGGTGTGTATTAGAAGGAAGTCCAGCGTGAATTTGTAAAATATTGGAATTATGAAATGTCTCTGTATATTAAAAATATTGTCTGATACAATTACTTGGGATTTGCTTTATTAAGAATGATACTACATATTGATATATCAACTATTAATACCTAAATATATATTCCTGATCTGATTATTGCTTTCCACCAAGTAATTGATTCATCTTGAAAAGTGCTGGGTTTTCATTACTTCTATGTTTGGTAGATTGCAGCCCTCTGAAGTAGTTGAGGTTTTATAGAGTGTGGTTTTGTAGGATGAGCTAGAACTTTTTACTAATTACCTATTTTGAGAGCATTTGTTTGAATGTGATATTTTTCAGAGAGTGGCCCACATTTGTCCAAAATACACATCACTTTCCTATGCTTTGTCAATCCCTCTGATTACATTAGAGAGAGAATGCCTCAGGTAGTGAGAGTACTTTGGCATTTATTCTTCATAATCGTGTTTCATAATAATATATAATATATTGTTCACAGTAATATATCACAGCAAGAAGCAGGATGAGTCAGATGAGACTAGGTAAGAACAAGGAGGCACAAAGATGAAAAAGAAAAAAAACAAAAAAAAACAAAAATAAAAGAAAAAAAGTATATTAAAAAAACCCCAAATAAATAAAAACAGAAAGGAAGGAAGGAAGGAAGGAAGGAAGGAAGGAAGGAAGGAAGAAAGAAAGAAAGAAAGAAAGAAAGAAAAGAAAGAAAGAGAAAAAGAAAGTAGGTGACTCCTCTGACAGGCACTCAACAAAGGATGAAACCCTTGACTCAGAATCTCTGAATAGGAGGATTTCCTGTATTTATAGGTTGAATAGTTGAATTGAGTATCTGGCTAGTTTGGTTAATAAACAGTACTATCACCTGTTAAAATTCTTCTTTCCAAGAGTCTCATTTGTTAATTAATTTATTCAACAAATGATGTGTGTATACATGTATACTGTCTACTAAATGTTAAACATGCTGTTTGGTATTGGGGATATGACAGTGAGCAACACAGATGGATGCAGTTCTTTTCTTACAATTCCTACTAAACATTTATTTCCTAGCTAAAATCTATCATTTTTAGAAATTGTCCATTATCAGCACCAACACTTTCTTTTACTGGCTGAGGAAGAGAAGATGAGGATCAAACAAGAATGAAGGTTTAATTATTCTGGGACTTAATGTCCAAAGAGATGGGTGAGGAACCACAACGTTGAGGACAGGCCTGTGTAATTTGCTGCTAGGTTCATGCCTTAGTGGGCAAAGATCAGGCACCTCTGTGTGTTAGGCGATGTCTAAATTCTGGGAAGACAGTGGTAAGAGAAAGAAAAAGACAGCCCTGCTATTATGCAGATTATAGCCATTATATGATGTTATTTGAACACTTTAATGTAAAAGTAGCATAACTCTACCGTCTAATAGTAAGAAATGCCTATATACCCTTTTGCAGAAAAGGTTTTTGAAAAATACCGGTTTAAGTAGGAAAGGCACTATCAGAATAACAGTCACATGTAGATGAGCCATGAGTAAATTATGTCATTAAAGTGCATGCTCCTGAAAGCAGCCTAGAACCACTGAGAAGACATAAAGCGAGATGGTAGTGTGGTGACTGCAGAGCAGGACCTTCTGCGTCAGGTGAATCTGTGTTCTCATCCCGGTTCTGTCACTCAGTACTTATCTGGCCTTAGACAAGTCACTTACCCTCCCCACGCCTTGGTGTCCTCCTCTAGAAAACAGAGCTGCCACCTGCCTGCCAGGCTGAGAGACAGTGCAGGGTGAGCCCTTAGCAGAGTGCACGTGGCACACGTGAAGCACTCACATTGGGAAACCAAAGCATTTTATTTTATTTATTTTTTTCTTTCTAATATATGATATATATTTTTTTAAATTTAATTTTATTATGTTAGTCACCATACAGTACTTAATTAGTTTTTGATGTAGCGTTCCATGATTCACTGTTTGTGCATAACACCCAGTGCTCCATGCAGTACATGCCCTCCTTAATACCCATCACCAGGCTAACCCATCCCCCCACTCCCCTCCCCTCTAGAACCCTCAGTTTGTTTCTCAGAGTCCATGGTCTCTTATGGTTCGTCTCCCCCTGTGATTTCCCCCCCTTCATTCTTCCCTTCCTTCTCCTAATGTCCTCCATGCTATTCCTTATGTTCCACAAATAAGTGAAACCATATGATAATTGACTTTCTCTGCTTGACTTATTTCACTTAGCATAATCTCCCCCAGTCCCATCCATGTTGATGCAAATTGGGTATTCATCCTTTCTGATGGCTGAGTAGTATTCCATTGTATATATGGACCACGTCTTCTTTATCCATTCATCTGTTGAAGGGCATCTCGGCTCTTTCCACAGTTTGGCTATTGCGGACATTGCTGCTATGAACATTGGGGTGCATACGGCCCTTCTTTTCACTACATCTGTGTCTTTGGGGTAAATACCCAGGAGTGCAATTGCTGGGTCATAGGGTAGCTCTATTTTTAAATTTTTGAGGCACCTCCACACTGTTTTCCAAAGTGGCTGTACCAACTTGCATTCCCACCAGCAGTGTAACCTCTCCAACATTTGTTGTTTCTTTCCCTGTCCATTTTTGCCATTCTAACTGGTGTAAGGTGGTATCTCAATGTAGTTTTGATTTGAATTTCCCTGATGACATTTTAAAAGCATCAATCGAGACAAAAACTATTACCTCGTTTCTAGGAAAGAAAAGAAAAAGGAAGAAGAAAATAATCTTACAGTTTTAAGAAATTCTTGCTAAGAAGTCAGAAAGATCCCTAAGAGCTGAACCGGGATTTTACAGTCACACATGTGTGTCTTTTAAAGGGGTGACATCTATTTGGAATTGTCCTGAGAAGGTAGAGACGGACCAACAAAACTGTGCTGCGCGTTAATAATAAATAGCAGACTAGTGGCTCTAAGCTGCACAGCGGTGCAAGTATTAGGCAAAGGTGTTGTTTTCCTTCTGAAGTTGCCAGTAGAGGGCAGTGTGAGAGCAGAGATAGTATGATTTCGTACTATCCCTTTGATTATTTTCCTTAATTAAGAATAAATTAGATTGAGAATGCAAGCTGCCTCAGACAAGGTCATGATGTAATTGCATTTGACTTTGATTAAATAAACACAGAATTGAAAAAGATTGACAACTTCATCCTCAAAGAGGCTGGTAGCCTGAGTGGGGGGCCAAGGTGGGGCCCTGGTGGGGTGCCCTCCAGCACGCCTCGTGGGGCGGCAACAAGACGCCACCCCAGCAGCACACCTAGCTTCTCCATTAGCATCTCTTGCAAGGCATGCTGGGAAGCAGTGATAGCCAGGCTCCCCCCGGTGGGGGCCAGCAGCTCCGGTCCCCTTACTCTGCAGGTGAGGAGGGGAGGTCCAGTGGCATGCTCCCCTCCCACAGCTGCAGCGGCTGCCAGGGGCAGACACTTCTCACCCTGCTGTCTCCTAACTCCCAGCCCCTACTCCTCAAGTACAGTAGTGAAGTGCCCCCCGCCCCCCCGCCCGTCCTTGTGTGATAGTCCTTGCCTGTTGTGTCCTCGTAGGACCAGTTTCCTATTGTGCTAAATGCTGAGGAGCCAGGCCCTCTTGCGCTTTTATACCTGAGTCGAAAAATAACCCAAACTGTAGACCTTTCACAGCTACTTGATGACCTTGAGAATGCTCTTTTCCTGGTCACTGTTAGCAGTGAGAGAGCACATCAGTCCCCTTTAAGAAAATCACGTGATACTGTATTGCGTTTTCGGCTTATAACAAGATTTCGTTGCATCCTGGGTCGGGGGGGTTATAAGTTTTCCTTTGTGGGAATGAATCATATTACATTGGACTATAACATGCCTTCGAGCGTTGTATTTTCTGGTGAGTGTGAAAGTTTTTGAAGAGAAGTGTGTGAGATTTGGGGGTGGCCTGCTGGAGGAGGTGAAGGCTGACACCAATGTAGTAAGGAAAGAACCATTTCTCCTCTTGCAGCGACCAAATGCTCAGCTACAACCTTGGCCGCAGGCTCCCAGCTGACCACGTGAGCGGGTACCTCCAGTTTAAAGTGGAGGTTACGTCTTCTGTGCACGAAGGTGAGATAGCTGTGTGAATACATCGCTGTAGGAAAAACTTGATAAGTCTTACTCAGTTGTTAGTTTATATTTGAATAGAATTTGAATTTGTGTCCTGTTTTGAAAATAAACAGCTAATAAGTGATTACCTTCTGAAGTTTCCCAAGCAGATAGGCAAGCTTGTTTATCAAAAATATCTCTTAGGTTTATGCCTGTGTTTGGAAACTGGGCTATAGAATTTCTAGTAATAGTGAACATAGACACTTCATATGTCAAACTAACCAACAAGATACTCATTCAGTAGTGAGTTGCTTATCTTCTCAAGGCAATAATACTGTAAAGAGGCCTTAATGGGATGACTGAATTTGTTGAACTGATGGGTGGCAAAGGAATAGGACATTAAAAGTTCATTTGTTATTACCACTTTGTTTTAATAAATGCTGTTTTCTCCTTTAGATGCTTCTCCAGAAGCTGTTGGCACAATACTTGGGGTCAATACTGTAAATGGAGACCTAGGAAGCCCTTCTGATGAGGAGGACATGCCCGGGGGCCATCATGACAGCCCCGTTTGTTCTAATGGACCAGTTTCTGAGGACAGTGCTGCTGATGGGACGCCCAAGCATTCTCTCAGGACTAGCTCTACTCTGGAAATAGACACAGAGGAATTAACCTCTACTTCTTCAAGGACCTCACCTCCCCGAGGACGTCAGGATTCACTCAATGATTACTTAGATGCGATTGAACACAATGGCCATTCCAGGCCGGGCCCAGCCACCTGCTCGGAGAGGTCCATGGGAGCCTCTCCAAAACTAAGGAGTAGTTTTCCCACTGACACAAGACTCAATGCAATGCTTCATATCGACTCAGATGAGGAAGACCACGAGTTCCAGCAAGACCTAGGATATCCATCTTCCTTGGAGGAGGAGGGAGGGCTAATAATGTTTGGCACGGCATCGAGAACTGATGATGTGAGCCTGACATCACAGACAAAGCCAGAAGACAACCCAGTGGAGGTGGAGGAAGCCCCCACAAATGAAGCCGCTTCCTTCGAGGATAAGCCAGAACATCTTCCAGAGCTGGCAGAGGCCTCCTTACCCCCAGGCCCAGTCCCAGATGAAAGCGAAAATGGCCCAGAGTCTCAACCAAGTGCTGACCAGGGCAGCACCGAATTGTGTGGCTCTCAGGAGGTGGATCAGCCCACGAGTGGGGCAGACACGGGGACTTCCGACACGTCAGGAGGAAGCCGCAGAGCCATCAGTGAGACTGAGTCCCTGGATCAGGGGTCTGAGCCTTCCCAGGTATCCTCTGAAACAGAGCCCAGTGACCCTGCCAGGACAGAGAGCGTGAGCGAGGCCAGCACGCGGCCGGAGGGCGAGAGCGACCTGGAAGGCGCCGACAGCTCCTGCAATGAGAGCGTTACCACACAGCTCTCCTCGGTGGACACGCGGTGCTCGTCTCTTGAGAGCGCACGCCTTCCCGAAACCCCGGCCTTTTCCTCTCAGGAGGAGGAAGATGGAGCCTGCGCAGCAGAACCCATCAGCAGCGGCCCCGCGGAAGGGTCGCAGGATTCCATACGCACTCCCAGTGCTTTGCCGGTGGTGCAGGCGCCCAGTGGAGAGGAGGAAAGGCCAGGGGCAGACTCGGCCCCTCTGCCTCACCAGGAGGAGGTGGGGGAGGTCTGGCAGCGGCGGGGGAGCCTGGAGGGAGCTGCTGCTGCCGAGAGCCAGCCCCAAGGAGCGGGTGATGCCGGGGCTGCCCACGGGGCTTGTGAAGGGGCCACTGCCCAGGAGGAGGGCGCCACCGGAGGTAGGATGTACAAGTCGGTATGGCTCTTGGCTCAAGCATACCGCTTCAAGAGAAGTCTTGGGGTTTTGTCCCTCAGTGTAAATTATACTGCAGGTCGCATGTTATCTGAATTCTTTTCTTCACCTTGGTCCTCAACAGTTAGCTTTTTTTTCAAACAGATCTTCTGTTTTTGAAATAAGAGGCCTGTCAGATGGTAGTCTTCAAATTTCAATAATGAATCTCCAGTGGGACCTGGGTTTGTAGACACAAAACCAAACAGGCTGACAGCTTTAACATCAGTGTAATGTGTAGAGGCTTTCAGGAACATCTTTTTTTTTTTTTTTTAAGATTTTATTTATTTATTTGACAGAGAGAGACACAGCGAGAGAGGGAGCACAAGAGGGGGAGTGGGAGAGGGAGAAGCAGGCTCCCCACGGAGCAGGGAGCCCGACGCGGGGCTCGATCCCAGGACCCTGGGATCATGACCTGAGCCGAAGGCAGACGCTTAAGGACGGAGCCACCCAGGCGCCCCACTTTCAGGAACATCTTAAGTTACTCCTCTTTGTATTAAACCCTCAAAACAGAACTTAATATGTACTTTGCATCAATTGTAATATTTTTTACTTCTGCAGTACGAAAAATGTTAACTAAGTTAGGTGATGCGTTCTGACACTTGAAGAATAAGCTGTTTTAGTACCTGGGGATGCAGATTTACACATAAAATTTGTATTATGTCTCAATGAACATGACCTGGTAGAATGTTTCCTTTGATGCATCAGAAAGTCTAAGGATAATTCACTGTGGCTAAATAGCTCAGACTCAGAAATGGGAATGATATTCTTATTCTGTAATTTATTTTTCTACCTAAAGTATCCCCTTTTTCTCCTCCTCCTCTTTTCCTTTTATTTTTGTTTTTGTTTCCTTCATCATCTTGCGGCCATTATGTGGCCCTAAAACATTGGTGCATGACCAGGACCAGCCAGGAGAGGAGAAAGTGGGGGAGGGGGGATGGGTAGAGAGAGAGACATTTCTCTAGAAGACCCTCTTCTGATTGAGCATTCAGCTCTTGTTCTTTTCTTTTGTTTCTGGGTCCTCATATGGAAAAGGAGACTAAAGAGAGGAAAGAGACTAGCTCTAGGATTTATGTTGGGTATTGTTGTTGTTGTTTTGTTTTTGTTTTTGTTTTTCACAAAGACTGTTTTGACACTGAAGGGGAAAACACTACCCAAGTACCTCTTTCTCTTTAATCCTAGGTTCTCAGGCCAATGGCCACCAGCCATTGAGATCGCTGCCTTCGGTGCGCCAAGATGTTAGCCGCTACCAGAGGGTGGACGAGGCTCTTCCACCAAGTGAGCACCTGTTAGCTAAGGGGTCCGCCTTGCTCAGAGGGTGCAAGGATGACAGGCAGATCCTTTCCATGGGAACGAAAAGATGAGAGATGAGAGAAAGGGATCTCAGGGCTGCCCCTTGACAGAGCAGCTGCAGACTGGAAAGTGCTAAGCTGATGACTCCTTGTTGGCACTGTCCTGCTGAATGAGGAGGCAGCCGGGGTGGGGGGTGGGGTGGAGCAAATACTATAATATCCGTAGAGTCAATACTGTAATTGGGAAACAGAACCAGATATTTGGGACAGTTGGGTTCATAATAGAAAATTTTAAAAATTATGCCTAACGGCAGCATGAATTTTCAGTTAGGAGACAAATTGGTACAGTCTCTTAGAAAAGCCTCACTCTATGTGATATACTTCTTTCTATTCACTTACAGCATTTTAAATCATTAAGTGCAGTGTTCTGATTTTTTCCTTGGGGATATGCAGAGAAGTGTTAATAATTTCAGAAATTGGTCTACCATTTGTTTGGAGCATGATAATCATCTGAGGTTTTGAAAGATAGGTTATTTCTTTCACTTTCAAGAAACATGTAACACTTAAAAGGGGGGATGGTTGAGGATGAGGGATTCTGGAAAAATAGTTGTGCAACCTGTATCCGCAGGTCTGAGCGATACCCATGGCCAGTCATAATCTGGACATAATTTAAGCTCTGTTTAAATGTCCAGGATCCCTTAAAGCAGTATTGCTCTGTAAGAGCAAGCATTTTGATGAACAGTAACAAAGCTTATGGGGGAACACATTGGAAAATACATCTTTCTGCATTGCTTTTTCTTCTTATTCACTCTCTCAACTCTCCCACCTTATAGGTGATCAGAGCAAGAAGCTGATGCCCTTGGCCTTCTGCGTTTTAAAAATGGTGGGACATAGGAGTGCTTGGGTGGCTCAGTCGGTTAAGCATCTGCCTTGGGTTCAGGTCATGATCCTGGAGTCCTGGGATCGAACCCCGTGTCAGGCTCCCTGCTCAGCAGGGAATCTGCTTCTCCCTCTCCCTCTGCCCTTTCCCCCTGATCATGCTCTATCTCTCTCTCAAATTAAAAAAAAAATTTTTTTAAATGGTGGGACATAAAGGTGGGGCTGTGGGACTATGCATATGTAGGGCTGAAATGCTGAATGCTTAGTTTTGGTGAGTGTTAACAAAAAAGCTGAATAGTACTATGTACAATTGGTCAAAATATTGGCTTGATCCTTTGGAAATTCTTTTGTGTACAGTTCCTCCCCTTGTTCATGTATTTTGATGATTGAAGGTAGTTACTTATAGGAAATGTGTATTTTAAGCAACTTTAAAAAATAGACCAAGAGATTAATTAACCAGTATATCATCTTAAGCAGGTGGGGGAATAAAAAAATTCTTTATTGTTTACCCCTGGAGAAAAGATTAGAGACAGAAAAGAAAAATATTCCTGGGAGATACTTAGATATAATAGGAAAAAAATGAATTGGGAACATGAGGAGAGGATTCTGGAAGAGCTCTGTTTATATGTGTATGTGGATTAATAGTAATTCGAGTTTCAGAGGCATTGTGTCACATCAGAGTATGGGTAAATGGCCTCTTCCTGGCCACATGTAATTGCTCTGAATTTTACTGAACCATGATTTTGTTTTCCGGATTGCATAATACAGACAAGTACTTTCCTGCTGAAACTGACCACTTTTTGTGATATTTCAATGCATTTGTTTAAACACTGATATTTTTATTACACAAAATATATTTTAGGATTTTAAAAAATAAACAATTGGTTTATTTTAATAAGTTGATATATCTAAAAGCAAAACAGCAATTTAATAGTATATCCAATTTAATGAGTAACTGAAGAGGAGGAAATTCTTTTTTTAAAAAATATTTTTTTTTTTTTGAGAGAGAGAGAGAGTGGGGGGGGAGGGGCAGAGGGAAAGGGAGAGAAAGAAAGAATCCTCAAGTAGACTTCCCATTGAGTGTGGAACCCTATGCAGGGCTCCACGAGAGGCTCAATCCCAGGATCCTGAGATCATGACCTGAGTGGAAACCAAGAGCTGACCGCTTAAACTGACTGAGCCACCCAGGTGCCCCAAGAGGAGAAAAATTCTTAATCCCTTTCATGCAACTTGCAATTTACAAATTTGGGGATTTCTATTATCAAGGCTAGGTTACAGATTATGGTCTGAGCATGCCCGATTACTGTTCAGCTCTGTCCTCCCACTGTTTCAGCCCCTCCTATTCTCATGTGTGTCTCATCCTTTCAACACCTTACTTAATCACATGGCTGCCCTGCTAGTTGTCTGTCCCCAACCTAACCAGTTCTCTGCCTTCCTTTCCCAACTGGGCAACTCTGCTACCACCTCGGGCCACACCTCTGACTTGGAGCTATGGCATTCCACATTCCACATTCCACACTGCCTTGTGCCTCTGCCTTCATGCAGTGTCTCCAGGGAGGCTCGGCCACGGGGCATCCCGTTGGAGTGTACAGATTAGTCCATCCCTTGAATGACCTGGCTGAATTATTTTCAGGCTAAGAGTTGTACTTTTAACACTATGAATTATAATATTCAAGCTCGCATAGTGCTTTATAGTTTACAGAGCATTTTTACATGCTTCATTCTTTATTCTTTGTTACATTTTTATGAGGTAGGTCAAGTGAGTAGAAATTGGCTAAAATGATTCTTTCATTTTATAGATGGAGAAACTGAAGCCCAGATAAATTAAGTAACTTGTTTACGATCCCATACTAGTAGAAGTTGAGACAGAGTCTTAAACCTTCCTTCTCCTCTATCAGGTATTCTGATCTAAGATTAGAAGGGAAGGGACTGTTGTGTGGGTAGATGAATATAAATTCTGAAAGCTTACTTAGAAGCAGAGTAGTGGCTTGTGTGGTGGTGTGTTATCTATTAGGTGCAAGCATCACCTTAAATCAGAGGCTTTAGGGGTTTCCCTGAAGCTTTATTCTATTGTAGTGTTTTGAGGTCAAACCTAGGAAGGCTCAAAAAGTGCTCAACTTTCTTCTCCTTCTTCTGGGTTAAGATTACTCAGCAGGACTCTTCCCCAGGGGCCCTGAAATAGAAGAAAAGTGGTTGTAGTGACAATATGAACATAGCCCAGACAGGTTTGCTCTGTTAAGCTTTTGTATCAGACTCAGGAGCACTTTTTCCTCCTTGTGTCGATCGCTATCCACAACCCTGTGGGGCAGGCTGCTGAAACATTGTACCTTGGGCTCTGATGCCCGCCCCTCATTCTTGATTCTTTCTTTTCTTTTCCTAATTATTATTGTTATTTGAGCTTATTTTCACCTTAATTGAAATTTGTGTGCTAACATATAGTGAAGAAACCACCCAGCAAACTTAGGCTTCTCTCTGAGGATTTACGAACTCAATTAAGGGGGTTCAGTGGTATCCCTTGCTGTATCTTTTCCCTGTTACAGCTGATCATGTGGTGGGCTAAGCATCAGTGTTATAACTTAGTCTCTGAACATCTATTTGATCTCTTTTTATGCAAAGCAGTTTTCCTTGTTTGTTTGCTTCAGCATCTAATCTAATTCCTCTTATCTCAGAATCAGGGACCTGTTCTTGGACTTAGTACAGAGATGACACAGTTGTAACGATGTCCTACCAATTGTTTTCAGAATCTTACTCTTGCTTTAGGCCATGGGCCCTGAGAAATGACCTTGTGAGCTATGTAACTCCAGTCCCTGGCTGAGAGATGCTCTCATGATCCATACAACACAAGAACACTCCAGGTCTTAAGGGCAGCATGGCAGTGTGGTGAGCCTTCCCTGGAAGTGGCTTCAGTCTGAATCCACACTGAGCGCCTTCAGAATTTGCCTATCTTCTTCTGAGGTGATTGATGGCACTGGCAGCTGGAGGCAGGTCAGGGCTGAAGCCCCCTGCAACATCATCAGCATGACAGATATTGGTCATTTTGCCTTAAGAGAAGCAAAAAAAGAACGGTCAGCTCAGCCCCTTCTGAAAAACTATTTTATTTTTCTTATTGGGTCCAGTATAATTGTGACTTAATCCCTTGCTGCCCTGGGGACAGTAAGGAACTGTTGAGTGTTTTTCCCCCAAAAGTGTAGGAATAGGATTAGACTCACGAGGAACCATCTAGATTATTGGACTCTTGTAGGATCCCAGGATTATTGCCACGTTGTTAGGACTAGCGTACTACTTAGGTGGCAGGTTGAAATGGGCAGGTCTGGAAAAACACAGGAGAATGTTTATCATTTTTTTGGTTGTGCACTTTCATTATTAAAGCATCCTTTGAAATGAAGGTTTAAAGTAAGGCAGTGAATCTGAAAGGTGTAATTAATCTAACTTTCTAGTATGTATAAGGCTAGGGGTTCTTATTTTCTAGAGCTTAAAAGTGAATTTTTATTTATTTATTTTTGAAAAAAGTTTATCTGTTCATTTGACAGAGAGAGAGAGATAGTGAAAGCAGGACCACAAGCAGGGGGAGTGGGAGAGGGAGAAGCAGGCTTCCAGCCAAGCAGGGAGCCCGATGCGGGGCTCGATCCCAGGACACTGGGACCATGACCCGAGCCGAAGGCAGACGCTTAACGACTGAGCCACCCAGGCGCCCCTAAAAGTGAATTTTAAGAGAAGAATTCATACTTTTAATCTAAAAAGCTACTTTCTTTAAAAATTGACTATTAAGGTCCACCATAGGCAGCTGTTTGAGATTTTTTTAAACTTTGTATTTAACTGTAATATACATACAGAGAAGAGCATATTCTGCCTGCGAAATACCCCCAAACTGAGTATGCATGTGCACTGGTGCCCCGTCACTCTTTGCGTCTGTTGCGATCACTAACCCGCCCTCCTGAAGGGGAAGTAGGCCTATTATGCTGCCTCCCAAAATCATAGATAAGTTAACTTACTTCTGTACTTGTACAAATGCTATACACCTCCTTGAGTGTTAGAATAAGGAAAAACTAATCTTTTAAACACTGCTGTCCCGCATCTACCACAAAAGCTTAATTTTTTCCTTAGAATACCTTCAGTTCATTATAACTTTATCATCTCACCATGTGGCGAAGACACCATGGTTCTTATAATTTCTTATAGTGGCTTATACATTTACTTCCCAAAGTTCAGGTTCCTCATCCTTCTAAACCCAGTTATAACTAACTCAAGCCCCACTCGTGATCCTCTCATCCCCTTGGTTCATGTGGTTCATGCTTCCCCTGAAGTGCCATCCTTTATGTCTAGTTTTTGATCTTCTTCCCAGTCTCCACACTCTCCCAGATGTGTTCACGGCTTCATTTCATCGCCAGCTGGACAGTCCAGCGCAGACCAAGGTCTGGTGTGAAAGGACTGGGAAAGATGCCTGATGGGATGACGAGGGATCACGGGGACGACTCCTGTTCCCACAAATGCTGATTTTAAAAGTTGGAAGTGTCCAAGACCTTCCCTGCTCTGCCTCCCTCCGGTGCCCTGGCTAGGGATTAATGCTGTGACAGTGGCCTGGGCGAACTTTTACACACTTTGCAACTCTAATTTCCCCCTTATTGTCCAGCTATTCAAAGGGGGCTGTTCTATTTGAGTCTCGGGATATCTCCCAGTCCACTTGCTCCTGGATTTCAGTTCGGAGTCTTTAGGATGAAGTTTAGTTTCTTGTGAGCCTCTACGTCGTGACCTCTGAGAAATCTAGCATTAGCTCCATGGCTTTATCTAGTAAATTAGCTGCTTTAAGTTCTTACAAATTTATGTCAGTGTCCCTCACATTTTAGTGTGTCTAGGAGTCACTTGGGAAGGTTGTCAAAAATGTAGATGACTGAGTCCTAACTTCAGATAGTCTGATTTTGCAGATCTAAGGTGTGTCCTGGGAATCTGCATTTTTATTGATCCTCAAAGTGATTCTGATACCTACGGCCGGAGTCCCACATTTTGAGAAGCGTTTCTGCAGATACCAGTTCTCAAACCTTGTTATTGCCATGAAGCTCTTTATGCAAATAAAATCTCGGGTGGAACACCAGTAGGCACAAGAGGTAACACTGGGGCTGTGGTGGCCAACATGGAGTTGGCAGATGGTTCTCAGGACCTCAAAGCCCCTGGCTCTATACGGCTAAATTAATTAGAGTTTAGTTTGCAAATTCTGGCCTAGACATAAGATGTTGATAGGTTCTTACTAAACCTAATGTAGAAAAATGGGTGTCATTTTGAAGATTCTTATAATTTTAGAACTGAAAGGGATCTTGGCAAGGTATAATACTGTCCTCTCATTTTTCAGGTAAAGAAACTGTGATTCAGAGGTATAGTGATTTATTGAAGGTCATGGAGCAAAGGTGTGACAAAGCCATGGCCAGAAGGCCCAGGCCTTCTACTTCCCAATTTGGTGCACTGCATATACATACGCACCCCAATACATTGTTCTCAGACTCATTTGCCCACTGATTATACACCCCACTTTACAATGTGGCAAGACAAGGAAGTAAATGCCAAGTTCCCAGTCTTCTAATCCTGCCTGTCTGATTTTATCCTGGTCTCTGAAAGACAACTTTGATGCTGGGCAATGAGTTCTCATATGCTTACTTGTACCAAGAATAAACCAGGCCCAATATAAAAATTTATAAGCAACCATACCCACCTCTCTCCACCCTGCAAAGAAACTTTGATAGATACAATAGAGAGCTAATCTTCCTATAGGCACCTCTACTGTCTTTGTCTGGATGGAAGGGTATTGACCACTTGGGTAAGAGTCAACAACAGAACAGCCTTTCTCAATCTGATGATAAGTGTCCACTTGAAATCAGCAAGACAGCATTTCTCTTTATGGGATCTTAAGTAACAGCCTCAATTTAAAGATATGACATTTGATAGGGATAGTCTTAATGTGCCTCCAATGTCCCACGTTCTTTGAAAGCAAATTTTCGGACCTCATTTTCTTGTTCTCCTCATGGCACACAGAGGTATCTTTGTTGAAATACATTAAGGTTATTCCTGGACTTTGTGGAAAGCGAACACAAGAATCTTTTTGTTATGATTTTATGTTATTGAAATTATTTGTTCATTCATTTCATGCTATGTGCAAAGTGTAGTGGTAAATATATGCGGAGATTCCCCACTCTCCCTCCTCCCCCATTTTCTTACCCATATGGCCCTTATAGAGACCACATTCTGTGGGGTAAATTCCTATGTAGTTTGTTCAAGGAAAAAGTTCTATCTTTGAAGATATTTTTTTTACTTTCTTTTGTCAGAAAATGGAAAGTATGCCACAATGTGTTTTCTTTTCTGCCTTAACTGCCAGAAAACTTAGAGCCAAATTTGAGTTATAAGCTTATCTTGGGAGCTTGGCAGCACCTCTCTTTCTACTTTCTTTAGTTGGCTTCAGTTCTGTTTTTATCCCTAATTGACCTATTCTACGTTTTTAAAATTGGAAGCTACTGTAAACATTTTTGGGGAAAGAAATGGCCACTTGTTTTCTTGTGCATTTGAGTTGCATATGCTATGTGCTTGAATTATCCTGGCTCTAATGAGATGGAATAATTGGTTCTCAAAATCTTTGAGGTGGGAAAGTATGCAAAGAGCAGAGCAGAACAATGGAATAGATCAAAGGGTTTTGGAAAATGGTTTCTGAAAAGGCTCTAATGTAGTTCCTATTTGTCAGCTTATGGCAGGCTGATCACGAGGTCTTTTGGAAATGTCTCATTGATGGGATTGCAACTGTGTCCAAAGAATTCAGGTTTGGCAGGCTGGTTCATTGTAAGTCTGTGTTACCTTGGAGCCTGAGTGACACTGAGTTGTTTTTTGTCTGTGTGGTGCTTTTTCTCAGCCCAATTTTTCTTTCTCTTGCCATTTGTCATCAATTACTATGTGCTAGGGTCAACAAAAACAGATCTTTCCACCCCCCCACTGAGGCAGCCCTCAGTAATCAGCTGCTGCTGGCTGGGGTCTACCATTCAGGTCTTTCCAACCCTGAGAACTTTGTTAGAATACTTGCTCTATTCACCTCCAGAGTAAATGCCATAGGGGATCAGGAGCAAACATGCCGTCCTCCTAGTCTCCAGGGTTAGACCCATGGTGTCTGTTGATAAGCTATGTGCTGACATGGGTAGTTTTGAAATAATTGAGCTGCTAAGGAGAATGGTGCTTATTAATTTCAAAAAATACTTTACACAGAAATAGAGATGTATAAAAGCTTTGCTGGTTAAAGAATAGATTTCTGCTGTTTTATTTTTTAAAGATTTATTTATTAGAGAGAGAGAGTGGGGGTGGGAAGGGGCAGAGGGAGAGGGAGAGAGAGAATCCCAAGCAGGCTCCACACCCAGCATGGAGCCAGATGCAGGACTTGATCCCACGACCCTGAGATCATGACCTGAGTTGAAATCAAGAGCTGGACGTTTAACTGGCTGAGCCACCCAGGCATCCTTCTGCTGTTTTTGTATATTATGTATAAATTGCACTTCCCAACTACAGTTAGTTTCAAAATTTTGCCTTTTGAAAAGATCAGCTCGTGCTTTGTGTATTTTGATGGGAGAATGGCCCTTTAGAGAGCCACAGAGGAGGTCGGTCTGGCTCTGAAGATCACTGTGCTTTCTGTTTCTACTGAACATGCACTTATATATTTGCTTACAAAGGTGAACAGACTTAATGAGATTGCTTAAACATAAAATTAAATAATATTTTAAAACGTTGTATTTATTTGAGCTTGAAGGCAAGTAATTACCCTTGTTCTGAAAATGTATTCATCTTTGGGAAAGTGCAAATGGAAGTTTGTAGATAATGATAGTATTTGATGACTGGGCTAGCTTTATTTTCTTCTGAAGACTACATTTACCAGAATTGTTATTTTTTTTAAAGATTTTATTTATTTATTTGAGAGAGAGAATGAGAGAGAGAGAGAGAGCATGAGAGGGGGAGGGTCAGAGGGAGAAGCAGACTCCCTGCCGAGCAGGGAGCCTGAGGTGGGACTCGATCCCGGGACTCCAGGACTGAGCCGAAGGCAGTCGCTTAACCAACTGAGCCACCCAGGCGCCCCTACATTTATCAGAATTGTATGTAAATATGCACTTGGAAGCTTCCAGCTATACTTTCATTCAAGCTGGAAAAAAAGAGAGAGAGAGAGAGAAATCAATTTTTGGTGACAACAATCATTGACACCAATTTCAATGCAAATATCCAAAGTCTTATGATACCAACAACTTGTATTTATAAAACACTGGCACTCATATATGAAGATGGGCATTGTGGACAGATCTGGAAGGATTCTCTACATTCAGAGATTCTTTAAAGCGGGGGTATTACACACACAGGGTATGTTTACTAACGGATCACAGCAGATCCTGAAGTGGACTGAAGGAGGTGCCTGATGACGCAGTGAGATATATGTGATTAGCCCCAATTTCTAGCATGTCAGGGAAAACCCATGCTGAAGTTAATGAACCACATTAATGGCCTCTGCTCTTCCTCTAACCTTTCTTGGTACGTTCCTACTGTGAAGACTGGGAGGCACGCATTGACAGCCATGGCAGGATCTTCTACGTGGATCACGTCAACAGAACCACCACGTGGCAGCGGCCAACAGCGCCCCCGGCCCCCCAGGTGCTGCAGAGGTCCAACTCCATACAGCAAATGGAGCAGCTGAACCGGAGGTGAGGATGGGCATTTTCACTATGACTGTAGTGTGGTTGGGCTTATTTTTATGTGGGCCACAGTAGAAAACATGGATGTCTCTCTTTCATCTTTGGGTGACCTGTCATTAACATGTAGCTGGTACCTCTTGATTTATAGACTTCGGTGAACTTCTCTTGGTTAAAAAAATAATAACCACAGGCATACACTGCTTGTTTGGAAACTAGAGAGGAAATAAGTAATGATGATCCCTTTCGCCAACCCAAGGCATTGATTTTTAGTAAAACAGAGCATATACATAAATGATATGAATCAAATACCTTTCTAAATATCTAGAATCTCCATTCATCATGCATCTTTATTATCAACTTAAGCTTTTTAAATGTCATTCTTTTTTGAAAATGAATGGCTATGAAATAAAAAGTTCTTTTCTTTAACAATATAAGAATTTAATTTTCTTTGGTTAGGGGCTGCGGTTTTTTTTTTAAGTTTTATTACTTTGTTAGGAAAATGTTCCACAAACAACAGACAGAAGAAATTCAATGCGTTGTAATTTATTTAAACAACAGATGGCCCAGAATGTCAGGGAATTGGGCGGGGGGTTGGGGGAAGAAACTTTGGTTGAGGCTGAGAAGATGGTGAAAATTTCTGGGCTCTGGGGGAATGGTTGAGTCCCTCATTTTGGAGGCTGCTGTGTTGTAATGCTAGGTTCCTGATTTTAGGTACCAGAGTATCCGCAGAACCATGACTAACGAGAGGCCTGAGGAAAATACCAACGCTATCGATGGGGCAGGGGAGGAAGCTGACTTTCACCAAGCCAGTGCAGGTAAGAGTCTATAGGTTGGTTTGGTTTGTAATCTCAGAAAAGTAGAAAACAAATAATAAGGATTTCCAAGAAATGAGGTTTTTCTTTTAGTGAACTTTTGATCTTCAATAAGATCTGGTAATCCAATGCAAATAGTAGAATTCACCAGAGACCTCTTCTAATCCTCGACTTTTTACTAGTAGTAAGAGAAGAATCACAAAACAAAATAGAATATAAATGACTTTTTAATCTCTGGATGTGTGGGATAGAGGAAAATGATTGAATCTGATCACTTAAAACATCTAAGGATGCATTAAAATGTTAATAGTGGCTAGAGATACTCAATTCCATTTTAGTCAGGTTTTATCTATGAATTTACATCAAAGCAAAGAGGGTTTGGTGGATTAAAATAATAGTAAATGATATAAGTATTCTTTGGTTCTTTTAAAACATAGATGGAAGTGAATAAATATGTTTCCACTAAATCTAGATGGTCTGCCCCATCTAGATTTCCGACGGGAGAACGTCCTGCCCCACTCTACCTCTAGATCCAGGCTCACGTTGCTGTTACAGTCTCCCCCTGTGAAGTTCCTCATCAGCCCAGAGTTCTTCACCGTGCTGCATTCTAACCCTGTGAGTATCAAATCTGAGAGTTTGTGATGGAAAAAGCAATAGGCCAAAGAAATTATCCTCGTTTACATAGTAATTGTAAGAATGACAAGAGCTGTTTACTGAGCACTAAGTGTGTCCCAAGGTCTGTGTTAAGCACTATATATGTTTTAACCCTTTTGGTCCCAATACACCTATGAGTCAGATAAAATTTCCATTTTTCCAGACAAAGAAACTGAAGCATAGAAAAGTTAAATAACGTTCCTAAGAAACAGTCTTCCAGTGATGGAATGACCAAATCATGGGAATAAGAGCTGTGGCGTAGGAAATATAGCCAGTGGTATTGTAATAACATTGTATGGTGACAGATGGTAGCTACGCTTGTGGTGAACACAGCATAAAGTAGAGAGTTGTCAAATCCCTATGTGGTACACCTGAAACTAATGTAATGTGGCATGTCAACCCTATATATAGAAAAAAAACCGCAAAACAAACAAACAAAAAAAACCATTCCTAAAGTTATACCCCTACTAAGTGGCATCATTGGGGTTAAAATCCCAGAGATACTAACCGTAGAGACTAAGCTCTTAATGACCACTTTATTTCGCCTGCAAAAAGGTAACTAAATATCTGAGCGTCGACAGCAGGCAGTGGTCAGGTCAGTCTTTGAGATTGTGGCACATGCTTTCTGAAAGAGAAAATATAAACTGTATACATTGCTGGAATCTGAAAAATAAATCAATAAATAGAGGCATATTTTAAAGGTCTATGAAGTAGAGCTGTCTGGGTAATTACTGCAGAAGTACTGGAGCAGGATTGCTAGGACAGCCCTTTGGCATGGCTGGTGGGTCAAGGGCACAGGACACCCTGAAAGTCAAGTCTGAGCCTGGGAAGGTAGGGAGAAGCCAGGGTACATGAACCTAGACTCATATAGAGGATAATTTTAAGAGACGGTAAGGCTTTTATACAAGGAAGAGTGGGCTAACATTTACAGTTGTCACATTTACTGTTGTAAAACAGTATCATTCTGTGGTGGGAAGAACTTTAGGCTTGAAGTCAGATAGATCAGGTTTTCCTTTGCTTATCTCTTTGTCCCTTTGTTCATGCATTCATTCAACCAGGATTTATTAAATGCCTGTGATTTGCCTGGTACAGCCTAGACTGGGGCTAGAGTGGTCAACAAGACAGAGCAGATTAGAGTAACAAACTAGTGAACCAGAAAAGGTAATTCAAATGGTGTGGTATGGCATGAGGTACCATACACGGGGCGAGGGGGTACTCAAGGATGAGCTCCTGGAGGCACTGCTTTAGATTGGGTGGACAGGAAGACCTCTTTGGGGGAGCCACATTTAAGCTGTTTGTAAAATGTCAAGAAGCCAGTAGGGTAAAGGTCTCGAAGCAGAACCTTCCTTGCCAAGGAAAAGCAAAGGCTCTAAGGTTTGAATGAGTCTGATGTGGTATATAATACGGGCAGAGAGGTGAGCAGGACTTCAGAAAGTAGGGCTGGTATGATCTGGCAAAGAGTTTGGGCTTTATTCTAAATGGATTTATTCTAAAGGGATTTCCTGTAGGGGTGTAATGTCAGTGTTTACAAGTTCCTTCTAGCTGCTTTGCTGAGAACGGGTTTTAGAGGGCAAGACTGGCATCAGGGAAACAAGTGAAAAGGTCCTGTGGTGAGACGTAGAAGGAACTGGGACTAGTGCTGTAGCAGTAGAGATAGTGCAAGTGGATGAATATGGGACGTGTTTTGGAGAAAGAACAGACATTCTTGTTAATACTTCAGTAGGTGGGGACAAGAGAAAAGAAAGGCTTCCAGAAAGAGCAGTTGATTGGATAGTAGTGTTCAAGGGTTTGCTGGTAAATGTTCAACAACAGCTCTGGGAAAATTGTGTGTGTGTGTGTGTGTGTGTGTATCTTACAAATTTTACTGAGTGAAGGATGTATAGCACACAATTTACAAATAATAATAAAATTGACACAGAATGCTTTTGTTGCTTTTTGCTGAAGTCTTGTATCAGTAGCCAACCTACAGTTGTTTACAGACAAGTGTAGTTCCAACACGAATGTTTTCATCTACTTTAACCATTAAGACAACAGTGAAGCAGGGGAGACACAAGTTGGAGCTTCACACTCCTGGGTTAGTGAGGTCAGTAGTACCTTCTTTTTGAGCCAGGTCATAGTTTCTGAATACTGGACCTAAATATCTTCGTGTGTGTGTGTGTGTGCACGTGTGCGCGTGGGTAAGCTCGCATGCATGCAGTGTAACAGCAGTGTGAAGTTTAATCTGTATTATTAGCATTTCATTTTCTCCATCAGTTTCTTAAGTCTAGACCTTACATCTAGAAAAAAGCAACAGACTTTTTTGTAAAGGCCCAGAAAGTAAGTATTTTCAGGTTCTGGGCCAAGGACAACATGTAAACAAATGGACGTGGCTGTATCTCAAAAAACTTTGCAGACACAGGCAGCCAGCCCACGGGTCCATAGCTTGCCCACACCTATCCTAGATAGCCCACGAAATAATATCAAGACCTGGTTTGCATTTACTGGTTTCTGTAATGTTAATACTCCCAGCTATAGCTAGTTTTAAGCTGCCAGTATGACCTCACCAACCAGCTTGCCAGTGCAGGCTGCCTTCTTGGGTACAACTTCCTCATCACTACATTGTTTCAAGTAGACGCTGGATTCACAGTTGTTGGGTTGTGGTAAAAGGCTGTAGCTTTTAAACTTGGTCAAGGTCTATAAATAAATGCATATTCTTGATTCCCAGATCTTAGAGACCCTGGTCCATTAGGTCTAGTGCAGGCCCCAAGCATCTGTTTGTTTGTTTGGTTGGTTCCTTAAGTGATTCTGATGCAATTGGCCTATGACCTGTAACTTTGGAATTCCTAGAATAAAGAGATGTTGCGTTAAATGACCTCACTGCTTTTGTCACAACAGTAATGCATCTGGACTTTGGACAACTAACAGATTTTAACAGTGTGAAAATACTCAGCAGTTTAAAGGTTTTTTGTTTCTTTAGTCTTCATGTTTTCATTGTTTTTCCCTTTTCTTGGGCATGATTTCAAAACATCTTTTGCTGGGAAGCCAATCTTGATTTTAAAGTATTCTCTCTAAAGCATTTTAATTTTTTTTTTCCTACCTGAACTGTCTTCATTACCGGCCACAAAGATGATCCATGCTGTGCATCTATGCGTTTGTGTAAATTTAAATTCTGCTGGGTTTAGGAAATCTTACTTCCCTAACTTATCTATGGCAGAAATTAAAGTAGCTGGATTTATCTTGCTAATGATCTCAGGGTATGAATTTATGGGAATAAGTTGCACAGTTTTTTGTTTTTTTTTTTTTTGCAGAGGGTATTACTTGATGGACTCTTTTTTTTTCCCTAAATTATGTAACAAATGTTATGAAGCAAACTTTTATTTGGTTTCCTAATCTTAGGATTTATTATCTAGTCTTTTTTTTTGCTTGAATTGTTTATTATCCATAACTGTTTCAATAGACTCCCTGTTTATATTATTGAAAATGTTCAACATACAAAAGGAGTATATTAATTTAAAAGCTTTCCTAATTCTATCTTTTTATGGTTTGAAGATAATCAGTTTATGTTAAAAGAATCATAAAAAATAGATTTCATGTAATAGTAACTTAATCATTTTTATTGAAAATAATGAAATTAAGTAGATATATGGTTGTAATAACTCTAAAGGAAAACTTGAAAGACAAAATAATTGTTTTTTGTATTTTTTTTTTCATTTTTTTGCATCATGTTTGCTTTAAGATGTATACTACTGCCCTCTGCTGGTATGATCAGATTTCTTCCAAAATTGCATTCATAAACGAATTCTGAAAACTCAAGATTTAATTATTAGTGTCATGTCTTTTATAGTTGGTATGACTGTGTTTGTCTAATTAATGTAATACATAAATATGTCTCCTAATATGTAACTGAATAATGTTTCCAACATACATGCCAAAAATTATTATTCTGGCTTTTATTAAGCTGTAGAAATACATTAATTCTACCATTAAACTCCTTGGTACTTAATGGGGAAAATATTATTCAAAAATACAAAAATATATTCTTACAACTATTGCAAAATAGATGAATTGATAGTTTACAATTAGTTTTGCTAATAAGTTAAATTTTCCCTCCATTTTACTCTTTAGCTAGATGAAAATAATGTAAAATCCCTTATGATTAAAAATACAGACTGTGTAAGACAGGCTATTTTCATATCCCTGCATACATCTTATGGAAGCAATGTTACTTGATTTTGTTCATAATAAATTTTGTTTTGTGAATAAGGTATATGAATGACCAGATCTGATCCCTTGTGAACGTGAGAGACATTCACTGTAGATGAGTGATTATAGTTTCCAAGTGTGGATTCAGAATACCTATTCTTTTTATTTTGTTTTGTTTTTAAAGATTTATTTATTATTTGAAAGAGGGAGAGAGAGAGAGAGCACACATGTGTGAGCAGGGGGGAGGGGGAGAGGGAGACAAGCAGACTCCCTGCTGAGTGGGGGTGGGGAGAACTCCATCCCATGACCCTGAGATCAAGACCTGAGCCAAAACCAAGAGTCAGATGCTTAACTGACTGAGCCACCCAGGCACCCCTCAGTATACCTATTCCTGATGAAGGATTTATGAAATATGAAAGATTTTATTTAGCTTTGATGTACTTACCTATGTTATTGAAAAGAACAAATTAGATGAAATCAAGACTGGGCCAGGTAATCCCGGACATATGGTCACTATAACAAGAAGGAAGGAAGGAAGGAAGGAAGGAAGGAAGGAAGGAAGGAAGGAAGGAAGGAAGGAAGGAAGGGAGAGAGAGAAAGAAAGAAAGAAAGAAGGAAGAAGGAAGGAAGAAAGGAAGGAAGGGGGAGAGAGAGAGAGAGAAAGAAAGAAAGAAAGAAGAAGGAAGGAAGGAAGAAAGAAAGGAAGGAAGGGAGAGAGAGAGAGAGAGAAAGAAAGAAGAAGGAAGGAAGAAGGAAGGAAGAAAGAAAGAAAGAAAGAAAGAAAGAAAGAAAGAAAGAAAGAAAGAAAGAAAGAAAGAAAGAAAGAAAAAGGAGAGAAGGAAGGAAGAAAAAGAAAATGAGTGAGAAAGAAAGAAGAAAAGAAAGATGCCAGGAAAAAGAAAAAAGGATTATTATTTGCACTGTGGTTGATTGATAAGAAATGAATATTTACATAATGTTCTTATTCTCCTGCCAAATGGCAATAACATTCCCCTCAACTCCTCTCAATATTTTTCATTTCTAACACCTCAAAGCATTCAACCAAACAAAACACATTAAGCTCAAACGAATGTTATTTTAACAGAATTCCACTAAAGAAGTTCAGCTGATCATTCACTCAACCATGAGGTTCTTGCATGGAAAACAGAAACAACCGAGGATAAGGTTAGGAAAGGAGTTTTGGAGTAGAGAGGCAGTAACTAAAGGGGACCTTTTAAATCACAGGAGAGACCATTTAAAGGCGTTCCATCTAGTGGAACAGTTCCCAGCTCTCCCAATACTGCTGGTGACTCCATATGCAGCCGCTTCCCAGACGAGATCATTCTGTGCATTACCATGAGACTTCATCATGGGATGAAATAGGGCCTGTTTGTTCTTTCCTAATCTACTTTGGTTTCAGGTAGAAAGTCACATCCGTTTACTGCATCTTTTTCTCTAAGACCAAAACAAAACAACAACCCAAACGCCGAAAAGACTCTCACCGGGTGAGAACTACAGAACCACCAAGGGAGAACGAAATGCCCCTTTTCTCTTCTCCCACAGCTTTGTCGGTATCTGCTTCCCAGAAGATGAAGCTCTTGTAGTCGAATCCTACCTGCTGAGTGTTTCTCGAGTGCTGGGATCCCTCTCATTCTTTGCTCTGCTAGTTCTCTCTGTGTTTCAGTATTTTCACTGCTACTGTGCCCTTTGATTTCCAAACTCTGCTTTCTGCCTCCAGGGAAACTCTTCCTCCCACCTTTCCCTATAATGTTCCTTCCCATCCTTTTGAATGATGGACGTCTGCTCATCTCTGTATCCTCGGGGCTTAGCACAGGGCTTAGGACATAATTAATGAAAGGTTATGAAAACCTTCCTTAGTTAATAGTAAGTGGGATGCTGCCCATGATCTTCAAAGACCTAAAAAGTAGAAAACAATTTTACTGCTATCATTCATCTGTTATAACATAGGTATGGTAGGTATAATCCCTCATATATTCCTTTACTTACTTCTACTCTGTATTTTTATAGTGATTTTTACCTCTTCAAAGCAGTTTTACATCCTTTGTTTCATTGGGCTTGACTCTCACATGCCTATGAAGAAAGCAGGGCAGTTACTATTATTCCACTTTACAGTTGAGCAAAGATTTAATCTCTGAGGCAGAGATTAAATGATTTTCTTTGTCCATGAGTGACAGGGCTGTGACTAGAAAGGTTCCATATGAACTGGAGTATAAATATTCTTTCTGAAATACATGTATATATTTATATTTATATATACATGCACACATATATAGTTATATATATAAATATATATTCAAAAATAGTATATATTTAAAAACAAAAATAGAATAAACATATGTATATAAACATATATAAACATACATATGTGTATAAATGTCACAAAACTATATATATATAATTGCCTTATAAAAATCTAGCAGTCTGAAGGGATGTTTCCATTTGCCGTAGGGTTTTATATGGACACTTACCATCTTGTGCATGTTGGTCAGACTTGAAAAAGCTATGGTTCCAAAGATCGTTTGCTAGTTACTGATAAGAAATCTTTCTTGCACTTACTTTACTTTGGTAGATGCTTTTTTCACAGATCACTCGAACTTGGCACTATGTTACATGTCTTACCGAGAGGAGAGGAGGAAAATGAAAGGACGTAATTAATTATAAGACTGGCCTTAAGACTCCTGAACGTAAAGAGCTGTGCAACCCCAGAGAATTACTTCACGCCTGGGGCTGGGACAGGTTCCTTCACCTAATTACTACTTCTTGCCCTAATGAAGTTCTCCTTCTTCTCTTTAGCTGAAAGAGGAGCATTTCTGGTGCTCCAGATAAAGAATCAGGATGTGGCCTATTTACTTAGATTAATGGGGGAAGGAAGAAATCAGGGGGACCAAGAGATATACCTACTTAGAACAACAGTTAATATAATGATTTAGCTGACAGAATTACCCCACAATAACATGTCCCTAAGAGACTGATTAGGGAGTATGACTTGAAAGCTCATTGCCACTGCCCCTCGACCTAGTGTGGTCTCAGGCCTCTAAGCTTGCAATGGCTTCTTTGAAAATACATAAGTAGCACGGAGCCAAATGCAAAAAACAGATGCCTTGCTGATTGTGCATAAAACACCAAGGCAGGGTCAGCCACAGGCTAAACTGTTAGTTAGCTAACGTTCGTCTCTGACAACCTGCAACTTCTTTTATTGGTCTCCTTCTCTGTTTTCATGGTATCACTTTCTTACTCTCTCGTGCTCTCTAATTGCCTGGAGCCCCTGTGTAGGCTCGCCTGCTTTGGGAGTTCACGGTGCTCTGAATTTCACGATTTCTCGCAACCATCAAAACCTCCTCTCATTTAGACTGTCAGGTTGAAATACAACCTCAAAGTATTTTATTCTCAGGTGTACTAAGGAATTAGTGCACTAGTATTTGAGGATAGTTCAGTGTGGCCTGCCTGCCTTCCTTCCTTCCTTCCTTCCTTCCTTCCTTCCTTCCTTCCTTCCTCCTCCCTCCTCCCTCCTTCCCTCTCTTACTTCCTTTCTTCCTTTTGTTTTGATAGGTCAAAAATATTTTAGTAAAAAGTATATAATGATGGAATCAATCAAAAACTATATAAAAGTTATAAAGTTTAGGCTATGTGTCAATAACAGAAACTAACAAATCTTGGTGGCTTAAGCTGACAAAACTTTGTTTCTCATCCCAAATTGGGTCATCAGGGTTCTCTGATCCCTGTAGTTACTCAGGGACCCAGGGACCCAGACTGGGGAGCAACCATTTCAAACATCCCCAGTTGCTGTGGTAACTGCCAAAGGGAAGAAAGCTCTAGAAGGACTCCCATCATCAATAAATGCTTTGGCCAGAACATGGCACATCTTGAGGAATACTGGACAGAGAGGAACAATGTTAACTGTCCTCATACTCATTTATCTTTCATCCTCAATAACTACCACAGTACTGGGCATAGCAAAGACAGTAAATGTTCATTAAAATGAAATTATTTCCAGGGATTCTGGTTTCTTTTGGGTTTGCTTTGGTTTATCTTAGACTGAACAAATAACAGAACCCATGAAGTAAAGCCTGAAGGCCTCCAGACTCAATCTAGTGGCTCTGGGATACTAAAGGTAAGAAGAATCCTTTGAATCTATCTGAGAAGAATAGAATTCTGGAATAGATCATTCACAACCTTGTCAATTTCATGAATATCATATTCCTTCTCAGAATGCAGGGAAATAGCTCCATACAGTTACTCCTTTTTTACTTCTTGGCACATGATATTATGCAATGAGTATTTGTTGACTGACTTATATGTGGATTGCTCATGGCTTACGGCTAATTTTTGGAATCTCGTTTAAGTATCATAGAGATGAAGACTATGGCATTTTTTACAAGGCAATCACTTTTTTGTGTGGTTGTACAGTGGGATTTTATTACGTGTGCATTTCAGCTGTATAAATTCAGCCATATACACACACACACACAAAAAATAAAGAAAAAAAATACGTATACTGCCTGCCATTCCATTCACTGAGATTATGCCTCGAAGAAGGTATAAGATGAAAAACCTTTATCTACTGTGGTCTCAGTTGCATTTGACTCTCAGTGAGAGCAACTCAGCCCATTGCATATACTCCTGATATTCAAATATATGGCCAAGCATTTTTCCAATTTTAGTATATGTGCTGCCGAAGCGAGCACGCCAAGCATTTTTCCATACAACTTGGCTGCAAATGTATGCCAACTGCTTCATCTGGCACTCACCCAAAGACCAATCATCTTTTCTAGTGCTGGAGGAAAAATTGGCTATGTTGGGGCTCACTGTGAGGTGGTATACTTGTATCTGACATGGTGTGACTATGACTATGCGGTTTTTGCCTAAGACCACCTTTAGGATCTAACATCCCCTGTAGAATGAGACTCTACAGAAGCATTCTTGTTCTTTAGGAAACTGAACATCATCCATGAAGGTTCCTTACTTTCTGTAGTCTTGCTGTTTTATTTTGCTCAAAATATTGTGCTCAGCCTGCTGTTTCCATGTGTGAGTCTAGGATTACGTTGAAGCTTCTGTGCCCACTGGAAGACTATATATGCCTTGTGTTGCATGGTAAGCACGTTGCTGTTGCGGGTCCCCAGCAGGTTAATGTGGGCTCTCTCTTCTGTCCTCCAGAGTGCCTACCGCATGTTTACAAACAATACGTGTTTGAAGCACATGATCACCAAAGTCCGGCGGGACGCCCACCACTTTGAGCGCTACCAGCATAACCGAGATCTTGTGGGATTCCTCAACATGTTCGCCAACAAACAGTTGGAGCTGCCAAGGGGCTGGGAGATGAAACACGATCATCAGGGCAAGGTAACATGAGGGAGTTGCCGTGGGGAAGCTGCTGAATGACAGTGGGCTGCTTATGGCCTTGGCATTGGCTCAGCCATTCAAGGGAGGGCTAAAAGCCCTTTGTGAGGTGAGACATTCCGTGTCCAGGTCCGAGTGGAACCTGGACAAGCAGGTTGTTTCTGCAAACAGTTTCTATGCTGTTCTGAAATAGTGTCTGGAGTGGACAGGTGCGAGGGCATTTGTTTGGTGAAATACTCCCTTTTGCCTAAATATTCTTCTGCCTGTGATCTCTCTCTATTTTCTGCTGTTTAGAGAAAAGATTTCTTAGGCTGGGACCTGTCCTCCTCCTTAGTTATACAGCTTGTGTTATGGATGGTTGATTTAAAAGTTGTGGTATTGTTTGGGGAAAGTGGCTAGGAGGTCAGTGAGCAACTACACAACTACACTGTGGCCTTGGTGTTGTTGGTTCAGAACCCTGATTTTGTTAGCATATTAAACAAGACTCACAGATGAATTCACGTATGATGAGAAATACGTAAGTGTCGCACAGACCAGAGTAACCATGGCTGCACTTCCTTCATGGACAGATGCACCAGAAAGCCGGGTTGTGATCAGGATGTGGTTATAAGTAAGAAATCAGAATGAGAAAGTTAGTAATTTTTATAAGGTGTTTCTAGGCTAAGATTTTATTTATTTAACTCTGATTTAGTGCCTGCTATGGGCCATGAACTGTTTAAGATCTTTATACGTATAAGCTCCTCACAAGAACTCTGTGAGGCAATGCTGCTATTATTAATGACATTTACAAATGAGGAGCCTCAGGTCGAGAATGATATGGTGGCTTGTTCAGGGTCACAGAGGGGGCAGTGACTGAGCTGCGCTCTAACCCAGGCAGTCTGGTTCGAGGGTCCATGCTCTTAACCACGGCATGCTCTCTGTATATTGAGTAACCAGCCTCAGTTCCCTTAGCTGTAAGAAGACTTGACATGCATGACTTGAAGGATGGAGGGGATTAAAATGACATGATATTTAAAGTATTTAATCATGCTTCGCTCATTCGTTCAACAAATATTTATAGAGCACCTGTGCAAAACAGATAAGCCAGCTACTTCATAGGACTGCCATTCTCATGGAAGGAGACAGAAAATACACAAATAGCATGCCAAGTGCTGATGACTGCTGCGATTTAAAAAAATCAGGGAATGGGGTCTCAGGAATGGAGAGTTATTTTATACAGGGTGGCCGGGGAATGCCTCCCAGGTAAGGCTAGATGTGAACAGAGACCTGAACAAAGTGAGGAGTAAACCGTATAAGGGAAAGAGCATTCAAAGCAAATGAAATGTTAAAATACTCAAGAAATGCCATTCTCCCTCAGTGTAACCTCTAGCAATAATACCACAGTAGCATATTACTTGTCCTGAGCTCAGCTTCCAGCAATCTTATCTGAGAACCTATAACCAGCCCAAACAGATGTTACGAAGAGCATGTATTTTAATGCATGGGAAGAGCCCTCAGACTCTGAATGAAACTATTGACTTGATTTCTGTAAATTTCTTTAATAAGCTTATAATTCCTAGCCCAGAGAGGATTAGAAGTCTCAAGCATGAAGTTTAGAATAGATGAAAGAGAATGGATTTGTGATTATGTCCCTGGCAGGGAAGCCTTTCCAAGACATTAGGGAAGGGGAAGCAGGGCCACCTGGCACTTCCAGTACTTTCTCCTCGCAGAGAAGGATGTCACATTGCTGGTGCTAAGTTTGGTTCAGCAGCCTGAGAGCCCAACGTTTCTAAACATTCTACTGAAGGGAAGGGCATAGATGGTCCAAGTAAAGACTTTGGGAAGTAACTGATGGTATTATACCTGGGTATAAAAGAGCAGTACCATGCCAGGAATTCAGCTCTGTTCTCAACTCTTGACAAGATTTTACCTGTGTCCTAAGGAGAGCCGTGGGTCCAGGGAAAGCCCAAGTTGAGATAATGCTGCCCTGTATTTCTGCCCTGAGACTTAACTTGCTAAGTCACTTTGTACCCTTCACTAAAGGAGATCAGGAGCTTGTGTATACATAGGGGGACAGTCCCTTCCTGCCAGTCATAACTTTCCAGACCCATTTCAGGAGAGAGCTGCTTATTAATAATCCTGGACCTTGAGAAAAGTTTAAGTTCCATTTAGGACACTACTTAAGAAGAATTACGATGTATTCTTAAGAGCAAGTTCTGTTTCATAGCCTTTATAAAAGTTTCCATAGTTAAACAGAGGTAAACATTATCTCAGCTATGTGGGCAACACAGCTGTCCATTTTACTTGCTGAGGGTTTCAGACTTATTTGGGGGTTTCAACCTAAAATTGTAGGCATTGTAAAGAACCTTGAGTGTGGGCTGGTAGATAGTTGACCTCACAGTCTGCTGGTGGCTTTGCATTTTAATGCTGTTTGGCATGAAAGATAGAGAAGGACCCCCAGCCTTGTGGACAAAATGGATTATCAAACAGGCCTGAAAGCTTATCACATTAGTCTAATCTCTCTGTTTTGTGCATTAGGACCTGAATAAGATTTTTACCTAAGCTGGACATCTTAGCTGAAGCAGGTATATCTCCCTGTGAGCCTTCCCCACCCCCATCCTTCCTTTGCAAGTGACTGGTTTCCAGTGAACTAAAATAACTTAAAGGAACATTTGGGACAGGCTTGTGCTAGGTTTTTATTGGGCTGCACTGCTTTTGACTGCGTTTTAGAAATCATAGTTCTTATCCTCCAAGGTTGATAGGTTTTCTTCCAGCCTTGACATTTTAGCTCCTTTTTTAATGAATTGCTTTGCTTCTAGAACATTTAAAGGGAGTAAACTTTTTCCCTACTTCATATAACATCAAAAGCTATTAAACACTGCAACGTTATTTTCCCATAGTGATGACTGATTTTTAGAATTGACATGGAATAGGGTATCCAAATCCTAAGCTACGTGAAAGGAAATGCTTCTCAAGGGGCATATTCCCAAATTTAGCTCTTCAGACTTATGAAATCTGGTCTCTTCTCAAGTACAACATTTTCTTTTCATGTTTTATTTAGTCATTCAGCACACATTCCCATACTTCATACGTGCATGCCCGTGTGATAACAATGATAAAAGCTGACACTCAGCAGCATTAGGCAGTATGTAGCATTGACTGTGTGGTAGACCCTGTTGTAAACTCTTAGATTAGTTCCTTTCATGCTCACAGCAGCCTTGTAGATAGCTGCTGTTTTTATCCACATTTTAAAGAGGTGGAAACTAAGGCAGAGCATGGTTAAGTGAATTGACCAACGTCCCACAATTAGAAAGTGATGGAATTGGATTTGAACCCAGGCACTCCAGGTCTAGAGTCTGTGCTCTTATCCTGCCTGTCACCAGTGAGTAGGGGGGATGGATGTCTAACAATCATAATGAAGGTTGTAGAAGGTGCCATGGGAGCCTATGGTAGGATTTCCTACCACTGTCAAGGAGGTGGGGGCGTTCAGATGCGTCATTGAAGGGCAGCATAGAGTGTGAGTTGCTGTTAGCAATCTGGGCATAGGTAACCAGTCCTTTCTTGAATCCCCACATAACTTCCCTTGTATTTTTCTCATGACATCTATCCACATCTGTCATTATAGTCATTAGCATGTTTTATCTTCCCAAGCAGATGATTCCCCTTCTTGAGAGTTCTTTTATTTATTTTTAATTACCCCCTCTTCTACCCCAGTGCCTTTCACATACCAGGTTCTCAAAACAAGCTTGATATATGAATGAAACTTGTCACCTGTAGTTTTCCAATTATTAGTAATCTCTGCTTTGGACAGGTGAAGACTCCCTCCCCACTCTTTCCTCCTCCTGTGCTTTCACCAGCAATAGCTCCTAGATTTGCTCCATTTGACCTCTCTTAATGTCTTAATGCATATGTTGCCTTGAATCTTTCACAATATTGTTTAAACAAGGTGGTGATGAAGCTTGTACTGCACTTTGACAGTTATTAATTTGGGGAGAGACTTTTTTTCTAATTAATTAAGGCCAAGGATTTAAACTGGGTGCAATTTCACAGAATTCTAGATCTGGTGTGCTCTTTTTGGAAGTTCTAAGGTAAACTCTGTCCTTGGCTCACATAAAAGAATAGAAATAAAATATTTCTAATTAACTATTAATTAAAGAATAAGAACAATATCAGGCTTTCTAGGTAAGATAATGATCATGACAATGACACTGATGATAACGATGATACCTGCATTTTTAAAACTCATACCATGTGCCAGGCACTGTACAAGGTACTTTCCCATGGATTATCTTATTTATACTTGCTGGCAATTTATGAGGTGGGTTTTATTATTATCCACATTTTTCTGAAATTTAGAGATGTTGAATAATGTATGCAAGCAAGTGAGGAATCCAGGATTCAAACATTATCACCACTTTTCTCTACTGAGAGGGATTTTCTTTGGAAATGAGAGTCCTTTGTCATCTGATGGAGAAAGAGTTCCAGGCCAGATGCTGGGGTTACTAGTATTCTTCAAGTCTGAGACATATATGTATGTCTTGATTAGATCACAGGTGATCTAGCAGAGGGTACACCACCAGAGACACATACATGGCTTCATGCTTAAATACCATAGAGTTCTTTTTTTTTTTTTTTTAAGATTTTATTTATTTATTTGTCAGAAAGAGAGAGAGAGCACAAGCAAGGGGAGCTGCAGGCAGAGGGAGAAGCAGGTTCCCTGCTGAGCAAGGAGCCCAATGTGGGACTTGATCTCAGGACCCTGAGATCATGACCTGAGCTGAAGGCAGACGCTTAGTCGACTGAGCCACCCAGGCATCCCATAGAGTTCTTACGCTAAGGGTACATAGAATATTGAAATATACTACTAATAGTGGCTTATTAGATGCCAGGCTCTATGTTAGGAATATGATATTAGCTCATTTAACTTTCACAATAACCCCATGGGATAGGTTTTACTATAGATGAAGAAACTAAGGCTCAAAGAGATTAGGTGTGCAAGTAAACTCTTGGATACAAACCCACGT